TGGTGAGACAGCCATTAATTTGCTGACAAATTTGAATAATTCACCAATAAAGCACCCCACATTGCTAAAAATCCTCGATTTTAAGAAAAAAACGATGTTTCAACATTTGCATTCTTGCAGAAGCTCACCTAGCTTTGTTCTTCATTTTTCCTTCAACTTTGACCGTTATCCAGTTATGCTATATATCAGTCAATTCAAACGACAATTTAGAAACAATCCAGCCTCACATTTTCGAAACAATTTAAGAACAATCACTTGCGTTCGAGAAGGTTGCAAAAGGCCTATGTTATGATTATGATGATGTTTTACGTAAAAGTTATAGATTTTTTCAAGCATTCTTTTTTAAAAGCGACCCTTAGTAGGCATTCATATAGTCAACGAGATCCTTTTTCGTAATCAACAAGGTTGAAAACTGCGCAGTAGTTCTTCATTCTTTTAACTGTTCGACTGAAAATATCCCGCCGCGCAGCCAGTAAAATCAACTCGTACAATTTCGTCCTTCGGTCTCGCAAAAAAAGAGTTTTCGATTCCTTCGCTTTCCCACCAAAAAAAATGGGTAGTACCGCACATAGTTGTCCCCAATTTACCCCTTTCAACTTGGGGATTTACTCGACCTTATTATAATCATACGACAATATATATAATCCATTCTCCTTGAAAACTATTCGTCCGCTGATAATATCACTTACCTCTCCTAGCTGATTCGCTTGCTACGACTTGCTGTACTAACTATTAAGGACGGTTCTCTTTAACAGAAAATCCCCTCCCCCATTGCTCAAAAGCAATGAAAACTGTACTCCATATTGATTTTAGAGATCACAAACTTGTATTCAAAATCTTGTTTCTCATATTTCCATCGGACTTCAAACCTTTTTCTATTTCTTAAATATACAAGCATATTAATGCGCCTTTAAATGTGTATATATTAGGTAAATACGATGTCTAAATTCCCGTAACTTACATTGTACCGTATGTCTTTAAACTTTAAGAATAGCTTAGTCAGCAACAAGTACTATTTTGAATTAGAAATTGCTTTGTTATGGTGATTTAATCTAAAATTTATAACTTTGACTGCTGGCGTATCAATTTTTGATTTAATAGGAAAGACACAGGTAAAAGAATAGTCCAGGAAAAAATGAGCAAATCACTGAAGCCAGATATCACCTATTCTGAGCTTCAGCAAGCTTACTTGATCTGATCCGTCTTATCCAATGGGACCGGGTGAAATGCAAGAACATATTCCAAGTGTATTCCCTCGACTGCGTGAAGCATATTATTGAATGTGGCGTGTTGCAAGAAAGAACTGTCCAGCTTGCAATCGAACGCAGCAGCTAACTTCTTTAAAGACTGGAGCATGCTAAGTGGAAAAGAGCGTGGAGGCTCTCTTGATAACGTTTTATGAAAATTTCATGATTCACAAAGAGCGCATTGGCACAGATCATGTCAGCAGAATGTGGAAGACAATTAAAGAAGAACAAGGATGCGGAAGTTGATTATGGGGCTTCATTTTTACAGTGAGTGCTAAGATCAAGCTAATATATGGTGATATGATTCCTGCTCATCAACAGGATAGCAGAGAATTTGTATCTGAAGGCCAGTTGATGTCGTAGGGATATTACTGCCATAGGAACTTTCCATTGGCAATGCATTACAGAAAACTAGAGCTGCCAGCTGCTGTGTACTTCAGTCATCAAACCATCAGATGAAACTCATTAACAGCCTTATTCTCTCTGGCTTACTGACACCGCATTTTGCACCACATAGCATTGCAACTAGAATCTCGTCATCAGTGCGACCCAGCCACACAAGTTTGTTGTTGCCTTCGATCAGATTCTTTCCTGCCTAACTGAGCCAATAGTCTCTACAAGGCTGTAATGGATTTCCTCTGATGTTGATGACTGAAGTACAACCAGCAGCCATCCAGCTCCTAGTTTTTCTCTTATCATTCATGACAACTCGTCAAAGTCATTCCATGGAGTACCGAATCCGCACACATTACCCATCATAGTCTTGTGTGTGTGTAATTTCTGAGCTCTTCCTCTCATAACTCTCTTGATAATAATATCGAGAACTGCTCTCACGCTCACCTAACGTTTCTCTGCCAAACCACGGATTCAAGATATCTCTATTCCCACGCAGTACTACGCTTCCTCTCACATGCTATCTTTAGCATCGACATCGAAAGCTCGACTCTCTATAAACCACGTGTGCCTGCTCTCAGCATCTTGCTAGCATGCAATTTTTTCATAAACGCTAATATCCAATCGCGTGAGCCTCCACCTCTCTTTTCCACTTAGCTATGCCTACCAGTACCCCTCTTTAAATCCCAGGCGCAATTGCTGCGTTCGAATTAAAATATCTCACCTCTCTAACTCCTTCATTCAACACTCTCCCACCAAATCAATGTGGTGAGTCTCCAAACTCAGTCCGATTTGCTGGCGAGGCACACTTTTCCATCTCTCTGTGTTATCATAAATCCTTCTTCATCCGTTCACTATCCAAATGAATCAAAACTCGAATTATCCCCAAGGATCTAGTTAACACGGCATACTCACGTCCGCTCAGCAATATAGGTATACTGCCTTCAGTGTTTGCTCATTTTTCGCTGGATACTTTTTTACTGTCTGTTCTGCTATGTCAAACAAATCCATCTGATTCACAATGATATGTGACGCTATGTTCTTTTACCACATATTATCCACAACCAGATACTACCATACTCAGAATGGTCTTTTACTCCTTGTTTCAGCAATCTCAAGAGCGTCTAAACGCTGTGTAGCGTTCGGCGAGCCTCTCTCGACTGCCTCACACAGTCTGTACAGCCCGAAATTTAATCGAGATATCTGCATTTACCTTATAAATGATACAATGACCATCATTCGAAAGCGGACATGTATTACTTAGATCTGCCTTGTATCATTTTAAAAAGCTAGAAAAACGATTTGAAGTCATCAAACAAGCAAGGATAAGAACAATCAATTCCCTTATATCCGTATACAATACTACTAAGTCTTTCTGACTAATAATACAAGTCATCGCCAGTACATTTTTCAGTATTGCATAGCCACTGTACTTACTAGAATTCATCTTACGACCTCTCTGTCTTTAACGCTCATGCATGCCGTGCTTCGTACTTAATCCACATCCAGTACTCTTAGACTCCGAACATTGTTCGATTCTTGAACTTTACTGCGCACGACGAGTCAAGACGCGATCTTATCAGATTTTCGCCTCTTTTTCATGACCTTAAAAATGCTATTCAATACTCGTCGATTCAGAACTTGCAACCGCAGAGTGTAGAGTGAGTGCATATTTGAATCATCTCTATTCGGGTGTCCGCCGTAGCTAGTTGAGTAGGACAACCTGCGATATATATATGCGTGCAATTCTTGTAATCCACGACGACACAGATAAGCGAATGTCCATGTTCGATCGTGTGTGTGTGCTGTCCCTGCCAGAGGCAATCTTTCACTAGTCGCCTTGAGAAGTCTCACTATAAGCAACATCTAGCCTATCGCAAGTTTCGAGTGTTGGATTAAGCGAAAAGGATCTCTTATACTTATGCGCTATCCCTCAAGGTTCCCGCTCATCTAGAGATCTGGTCCTTGAATAAACTCTAATAAACTTTTCGTAACAACATCATCACATTATCATAACATAGCTTGCCAACTTCTCGAACCCAGTATGATTTTCTTAAATTTTTCGAAAATCTGAGGCTGGATTGTTTCTAATTTGTTTTTTGAATTTACATTGATATATAGCATAACTGATAACTTGGTCAAGAAGTTAAATAACAATTAAAGAACAAGCCAAGGCTGAGCTTCTGCCAAAATCGCAATTATTGAACATACGTTTTTTCTTTAAAATCGAGGTTTTAGGCAATTGTGGGTGCTTTTTCGGTGAATATTCAAATTTGTCAGCAAAATTCAAGGCTGTCTCACCACCTTTGCTTTTGTACAAATGAGGCCTGATAGAATCCTCCTTACGAGCGCAAATAAAACATCTGCACTGCTTACACTCTTCTTGCATTTTAAAATTCAAAAATTGATAACAACTGTTGCTTAAATCGATTTGATTCTCAGGACCGTTAAAAGCAGAGGATGAGCAATAAATGATGCGAGTAAAATCGCAAATCGGTTAAATCTTTCCTTCTTTTCTTTCGATAAAATCGTCCCGGCAGCTACATAACTTGCATGCTAACAACGGCATAATGATTAACGCGTGACATGGGCATAATCTTTCTCAAGAACTATCCCAGAGGTCTTCCAAAACTGATATATCTTCTATAAATATTTCAAAACGACGAAGGCGACAAGATTTTTCACAAGCATCTTGCCCCTAAAACGGTGCATGCCTAAACTGCTTTCTCTTGCTGCTACTTTTCCATAATTCTTACTTCCTAAGATAAGGTACGGGGCCCCCATATATACTGAACCAAAAACAATAGACATACGTAAATAAAACGGTGAAAGGAAGTAATCTACTTAGTAATGAGCGGGGTGGGGTAGCGCGATATCCTAAAATACTGGGTTGCTATGACGATCTACTTAACATGCTGATAATTGACGTAGGTATGAAGTTACTCATAATAAGACAATAGATAGAAAAATGCGGAACGAGCAAGGAAAGTTACAGATAAACAAGAGTGATTCGGTAAGGAAAATTAAACGAATGGACTAGAGAGTAAGGCCTAAAATTAGCAGTATTACAAAATTAAAAACAATCCAGCCTCAGATTTTCGAAAAAATCAAGAACAGTCAGCCTGAATTTAAATTTACTGGTTCTTTTAAAAAAAAGAGTGTATTTCCAAAACGTTAATGATACAATTTTGTCGACGCCGAAAAAAGTCAATTTTCAGAATAAAATTATAAGAAGTAAAAATAGGTTCTAGATCTGCAATGGATAGGGCGTCAGTATAAGAAAATATAGCAATCAAAATTAGAAATTGTATACTTCAAGGAGACAAAGCAAAGCATATGTAATATTTCCTTAAATCTCACTTGAGAGTGCCGGGCAGAAACATGTGAAACAGCAGCTCAGTCCGCGACTTCTTCGATTGGAGTTCAGCACGTAATAAAATAGGCGTATACGATCGTGAACTATTTCTTCTCCAAGATCACGTGACTAGAGTGGGTCACCAAACTTTTTGCAGACTGCAGGCTTCTGTTGTGAGTCAGTTACTGATATAAAATCAATTAACTGAGATCCAATTCACACTTATGCGGATATTTCTCAAACTATTCTCTAAGGGGTTCAAAAACTTTTGGGTCCACACCTAGCGTATTCAAATCGAATCCGGCCATCCCCACACCTTCGGATTCACTGTAGTTTTCACAGGTCTTCCGTTAATATTTTTGTCAGGACATGCACAATCAAGCAGTGTCTCGTCAAACCGTAAAACACGTCCGGATCCGAGCATCAACACGTCGAATTCATAGTGTATTTAAAAATTTCTATTCCGGAGAGCGAATTCGAGAAACGCGGAGATTTTGATTGAATTCGTGCGAACAGGAAGCCCCATCTTCAAAGAAAATTTGCGGATTCAAGAGTGTCTATTTACGTGTGGACTGGGCAACATTTTACTAATCATCTAGCCTGAGTTCCAGACCCCAAACCCCCAAACATGGAAAGCGTCAAAAGGCACATATTTTTACTAAGAAAAGAGCTATGAGCCTGTGCGTTATTCAAAACCACATTTATGTTTTAAAACGACGAAGTAGCCTTTTGCAGGGCAAATGTTTTCTACCAATGGATCTGCTTTTCTTGTTTTTCTTATATAAATGTAACAAGAAAGAAGGATATGCTTGGAATTTACCTATTCTAAAAGTAAAATGATACAGACTACCAGTGACACGAAATAGAAATTACTAGCGTAAGCCTGGATGTAAAAGATTTCTAAATAGATTCTGATTTTCTTTCACTGTGGACTTAAGTTTTACACCTTTGATCAATATTTGTGTCTATTTGTGTGAGACAAACGTTGCTTGCCAAAAAACTAAGAAAAAATGGTTTAATCCCAACCTGGCGTTGCCACACAGCCTTTTGCTGGGAGAGATCTGGAATCCAGTTATTTGCTAAAAAAGTGTGCCCAAATGAAAGCGGCGTGTGTCAGAACAGAAATACTATTGTACACTACTGTTATAGTCACATCAAATATTGCTTGAAAACTAGTGACTGTAAACCGAGTATGAGACTGTAAACGGGGCTATTTGGGTCTAAATTTGATTGAATAGTTTGGCATATTTGGATCTAAATTTGATCTGACTGTAACCAATAGTGTGACTTTAAGCGTAGTGACTATAAGCAGAGTCGACTGAATACTGTTTTTAATATCTATTTACATTTTGTGGAAGCAAGATCTGTTTTTCTACTGTTGTCATGAATATGTTGGCATAATTTGGGGCAAAGGGTCTCCCCATTGCGGTGCCTCAAGGGAGGTTAATTATGACTCCCCATTGCGGTGCCAAAAATTTACCATTACGTTCTTTTTTATATGAACCAGTAAGTTGTAGTTCAGGCTGGTTGTTCTTAATTGTTTCGAAAATCTGAGGCTGGATTGTTCTTAATTTGTTCTAAAATTATTGAAATATAAGCAGTGCAATTGCTAGCTATTGCGCTCTAGGGAAGTGTTCAGCCTTATATGCCAAAAAAGTGAGTAAGACATCCATTATTTGCTGACAAGCTTGAAAGGTCACCGAAGAAGCACCCCTAGATGGCAAAAAACTCCTCGTTTTTGAGATGAAACATTGTTCAAAATTACATTTTACAGTAGCTCAGCGTCAGCTTGTTCTAAACTTTTTACCAATTTTAAGGCTCGTGTTCTTATTAAATTGTTCTTATATAAAGAGAGTGTAAAGGTAATATGATTAATATCACCCTTTGTTGTATTTTATATGCAGCGGGTTTCCCCATAATGATTTTTGATGGCATTGAGGGAAGCTTTGATACCCTCATCTTGAGAAATGTTTGTGTATAGTGATTTTACATCTAGTGTGACGAAATCAGTGGGATGCTGGTGTGCATATCGAAAGTGTGTTGTAAAAGATGAGAGCATGCTCTTTGACTCCAGAATGGAGGGTTGCCCCACTCATTAAAAAACTTTATTTTGCTTGTCTCCCCAAGGTTAGGCAAACACATCAGTGAACTTGTGGATGCAATAATCAAGGGCCTAAGTGATTGCGACGAGAATTATTCTTATGTCACGGAAACCGAGTGCAAAAGTTTTATACAGGGCAAATATGCAACCACCCCCCCCCCCAACAAAGCCCCCCCACCCCCAACAAAAGGTATGAAGTGCCTACGGGCACGACCAAGCTAACGACAAGACTGAAGCTGACTTATAAAACCCCCACCCCCTTTTTTATACCCTTAACAGAAACCTAGAAAAACAATTACGTAATCCACAAAACACATATTTATAGAAGATAAAGCAATCACAGTGCAAGAATGCTATTTTCATTTAATTAAGCCTGTAGCCTATGTCCTAACAATTGTAAGGCATACACTTCAAATGAGTGAAATATTCAATACTTTGTTATTTTTAATGCTCAAATACGTAATGCTTTAATCTGCTTTAAGTTCCATATTTTCCAATATTATGTTATGTTGTTGTAGTAGATTCAGGGCCATTTCTGCCTGAATATCTACTATTAAAACTGCCAGTCACATTACATTCAGTGCCAGGCACGTAAATATCTAGGGGTGTTGATTAATAGCTAATTGAGGTATTTTCAGTTTAAGTATTTGAAGTGTTAGTATCATTCTGCTTCTTTTGCATGTTAAGGACATTTAACTTGCTACGGACCTGTCCAAAATAGTTTATTATTTGACCTGTGTAAAAAAACCGAAGCATGCCCAAAACAATTAGCTAAAAACTACAAATTTATTTTATATCTTGTTCTTTTCAATGAAGGTTTCAGAAATTAGGGCTCAAAATTAATTCTGTTGCTATATATAAGGCAGTTTTTCGTTCTGTATCTCAAAGAAAAAGGAATAATGTTTAACATAATGGGCACTGCAATGGCGAGGGTCATGTCTGGGCACATTACACCCCTGGTGTATTGCTATGAAAAGAACAAAGGGACCCTTAAATAACAAAATAACAAAAAATAACAAAAAAGAGGAAAGGAGAATCTTGCAGCCCCTCTGAATCCTCCAACTCTACACATCTGATTACACTTGCTGGACTTGTGAATTTGCTTTCTACCTTAGTGTAGCAATTGCAACTTTACCCACCTGGCCCGAAATACCTGTAAGTCCCTTTATGCATATATACTGTATTTTAAGTTTTGGGAACACGAAGACTTGCAAGAACCACAAAGTTTATTCCACTAAATACAGTTCTGGTCGTGCTTCCTTTCCACAGTAATGAATGCAGGTACTTAACTTCAAAGAAGTTTCAATTTAAAGGGGGCTATTGCCAATTGGCCCCTTTGCAGCAGTTCATAAACACGGAAGTAGCTCTGTAGCCATCTTGCATTTCTCGTAGCGCAGAAGAGGCTACTCTTCCTATCTATGTCGTGTTTGCAGTAGGCCAGGAAGAAGGACAGGGAGAAAGACGCAAATGATCAAAAAAGCGAAGGGAGAAATACTGTGAGTCTAACAAAATGAGAGCATCTACTGAAACTTTGTATTGGTATCACGGAAGAATAACAAGGGATGCAGCCACCCATATTCTGCTGTCACATGCAAGAAGCAACTACCGCGATGGCTGCTTCCTGGTTCGAGACTGTTCTAGTGCCCCTGGGGACTATGTCATATCAATCCTTGCACACAATCAAGTACTGCACTTCCAAGTCCATTGTACAGGAGATAATCGGTTTTCCATCGATGATGGGCCCATTTTTCATGGGTTAGATACCTTAATTTTACATTACCAAGTCAAATCAGACGGGTTGCCTTGTAGATTAACAACTTTTTCAAGAGGGTCTTTACCACCTCTTCAAGCTTTAAAATATGGAATTGACACTCCATTGCATGTAGCCTGTCTGAATGGAAATGCTTCTGCTGTTACTAAATTACTGTCAGAGATGTCTACTTATCAAGAAGTTAACTCGAGAGACGAAGAAGGAAGGACGCCATTGCATATTGCAAGTTGCAAAGGCTACCAGGATATTATTCTCCTGTTGTTAAATTATGCCGCAGATGTTAGCGCTTCAAGTAGCACCGGAACAACTCCATTACAGGTACAATTAAAACATGTGACCAATGTGAAGTTTTTTTTAATGATTTTTTGTTTGCCTTGCAGGTCTTCTCATGTGTCACGAAAAGTAGCTAACGGGGCAATTGGATGCGATCAGAGCTCTGTATCTTTCATTGCTTCAATCAAAGACGAACTTGCAGCTGATAGGGCACTTATAAACTCTTCAAGACAGCTTTAATGTGATTGTTTATCTTAACTGAAGAATTTTGTTTGAGATACTTTTTCAAGTGCTCAAGTTTGGTGCAAAATTGAAAAATATTTTAAGCAGTTTTGTTGTTTGAAGTATCACATTAACAATGACGCATATAAAGGCTATGGCCTGTTGCTTTTAAGATGTGATGCCAGTTTTATGCCATGCTTTTTAACACATGCTCCAGAGCATTCTGCTTGATAAGATTTCTTGCCAAATCTTTGGCAGGCCATGCACTGTGCCAAATATATTTCTAAAATATGCAGTTAGTTTCACTCTGGTCTTCATGCAGGTGCTAAGATTAGATCAACATCATCAAATGCCAAAATTTATGTTAAGCATAATAGCAATGGCAGTGATGGCAATTTATCAGTGGCGGCTCTTGCTAATGGGCATCTGGGGCAATGTCTCCTCAAAAAGATTCAAAGGAAATCTATGATATTCATATTTAATTTTATAGATAGTCTTACTGTGGTTAATTATATAAGTTTGTATCTCTTCTAGAAAAAGCTCCTTGCTATCCCGTCTCGTCCTTAGCCTCGCTTCTGGCCCGCTAGTGCCTTGAGCGATGATGTCATTTTACGGGCAAAGTTTTTTTTGCCCCTTGCCGACATGCGCACAAGCTAATTTTCGACCTCGAGCATTGCGAAACGCAGCCTGTGATTGGCTTATTTGGAGGAATTCGGGGCAAGAAAAATTTTGCCCATAAAATGACATCATCGCTAAACAACAACCACATCTATATATGCTTTTTCTTCTGCGCTCCATGACGATCAACATCGAACCATGAATACAGTGAAAAATTTGCAAACTCGACCTTTCTATCCATTATCGCAAAGAAATTGACTAGGCTTGTCCTGTCACCCTAAAAGCTATATAATTTTTGTCCCTGCATATTTAGTAGAATTTTGTGCTATCACTATGAAGTAGCAAAAAATTTTAAAACCTGTTTTTCTCTAAAATTACACAGTAGAATAGTAATTTTACAACACTAGTTTTTTTATTGCCTTCATACTCTTTTGTTCATTTTGTTTATTTTGATGGCTACCCAAGTATGGTTTTTAGAACCTGTATTCTGGTCACTTAGCTCAATTACAGAGGTTCAGTGGTTTTGTTTGTTCAACATGCAATGTGTAGTGATTGTTTGTATTTTTGTTGTTAGGAAGCATGTGCTGCAGGCCATGTTGAGGCAGCTAGGTTACTTATCACTCAAGGTAGAGCAGATGTACAGGAAAGATCTCAATCAAATGGATGGGTGCCATTACATGAGGCAGCATTAAGAGGGAACATTGACTGCTGTCACCTTCTTTTATCACATCATGCGTCCATGAATCCACGAACAATGGAGGGAGACACACCAAGAGACCTTGCATTGAGATATAATAGACTTGAAATTGTGGAATTTTTAGGTATGAGTTCCAGTTTTGTAATTCATTGTTTGAAATTAGCCCCTATTCAAGTTATAAATTTGTTATATTGACTTGTTTTATTTTATGTAAGCATTGTTTTATGAAAGATTAACTAGTACTTTTTAACTTCCTTGATCATCAATTTATAGTGTGAGGTGTGTTTGACATTTATAGGAAATTCATTTTGAGATTCTTATCTAGATGGCCAAGAAAGATCTTTAAATCCATGCATTGACTCCAAGAAATTTTGTTATTTTCTTGATTTATTTTAAGATCTAATTTTGTCTCATACCCAATATCCTAAAATCCTTCTATTTAGGGTGTACCAAAATACCAGATTTCCATTAAGTGCTTTAATTTTTGCTGTATGGGGTGTAGTGCTATGAATAATACAAAAAGGTGTGCCCCAGTAGTATGTATCTCTGAAAGCAATACTTTGAAGTAGATTCTTGACAATTGTCAGCATTAGGATGGGACCCCTGGTCCTGCATACTGTCACCTAATCGGACCAGATATGACCATGTTTTTTATGAAGCTGTTCTTCAAATATTATAATTCTAAAAATAGATTGCAAGGTCCACCTTGGTCAGGTATGCAAACACTAATACTTCAATTGATTTTAAAGATTGAATTGCAAATTGGGCTGTTATTGTGAAAAAATTATTTTGACTATTGAAATACAGTATTTGTATCTATGGGCCAAACTTGCTTCATCTTATAACCTAAAGAAAAGTTCTTTGCAACTTTTGAACATTGGTTTTTCCTAATTCAAGGATTAATGCAAAAACCTCCTTAGATCCATGTGTAAAAGATAATCTGAATTTGCCTGTTGGAATTTTGGCCTTTTTTAAGTTTTACGTCTGATGATGTTTTAAGTTTTATGTTTTTTGTTGGTTTTTTGACATATCACCTATTAACTCTAGAGCATGTTATTCATTGATGTGTATCAAAACAATGGTATTGTATCAAGTCTTGTTTGCCAGATACAAAATGACAGTTTTTAATCAACATATATGTCTGTTTAGACAACTTTCCTATGCCACCACCAAGGACAACTCCTAGTCAATGGCTGCATCAGAATCTAGATAGAGTGGTGAGTAATGTCCTATTGCCAACCAATGTAGTTTATGTTGATAACAGGCCTTGCAAGGAAAGGCACTCAAGCTCAACCTGCACCTCCACACGCACCTAGAAAGTTCTAGGATCTTGATTGATTGAGCACCTAGCATGTTATTGATCCCTAAAAATTAAATGCGAGAAACCAAATTTTGTTTTGATGATATTTGATGATTCTCAATCGAGCGCCTAGAAAGCTGAAAGTGCTCATTTTGTCAAGCACCTCACAAGGCCTGGTTGATATAAATACATTTTTTACAATAAAAATTACTTCTTACCGGGTTGTCATAAAGTGCTTGCAACTCTGAGTGTCATGTTTCAATGCTCAACCTTAGATTCTAGTAGTGAAATTCCCAGTGATTTGCCTGTGACCTTATCCTACCGACTTAAACCATGACTTGGATCTTATAACATAATGGGCACATAATTGGAGAATATCATTAAACCCGGATCCTCAAAAACAAGCTGTTGCATTAATATTTTCAAGGTAATGTTAGGAAATAAACCATCATGTGATCCTTTTAAAGAAAACACCCTTAACAACAGTTGTCCAGCAAAAGTACTTAGGCATAATACTCAAGCAATTGGAATGTTGAAGTTTATGTCAAAATATCTGTCTAGTGTCTAGAAGTATGTTAAATAAGTTGTTTAAATCACACGGAAGATCCCCTCTAAACTACAGTGATGATCTATCATATACCTCAAAGAGATGCTTGTTCTGAAAATTATTCGATGGAAAAACTTGAATCTGTGTAGTATTCAGCTGTTCTAGCAGTGTCAATAAAAATTTTCCCTTGGAAGTTAACAAACCAAATTTTAAGTCTCATAATTAAGTTTCTTTTTGAAACTTAATGCTCCGATAAAAGTTTGCTTCTCATAGACTAACCCACCCCCTTGTATCTTTAAGTATTTGGGATTACGTATGTGTGTATTTTTTCTCTCTATGTCATGGCTCTGAGGTAGTCATAGTTAAGGCTCCCTGGGGTATCATCTTTGTAGGGTATGTAAATTAGTATGTATTTAATGGTATTTTAGTAACTTGTCATGTAACCATATTGGAATGTATACAAAAAAGTTTCATGCTTGACATACAGAAAGTCATATTGTATCCATCTTATTCCAATGGAAATTTTAGATTGCTTTCTTTCTCCTAAGAAGTAAGGGTCCCACTTGAATTTTCCCAGACCATTTGTGAGAGGTTTATGTAAGAGACGAGAGAGATGAACGTGATATCATACTACAAAGATCGTATTTTATAATGACATTGCAAATCTGCAGCAGATGGTGATAGCATCCTTGATATCTCTTCCTGCTACTGAATTCATCTGTATTTGTTGTCGTGACCATTCCTATTCATACAGATAGAATGAGTCAGTGCTACACATATCTTTCTTGTTTATATGTACAAGTTTGATAGAGTTCTAAGTTTTAAGATTTAAAAAACTTCTACCCGCATTTGTTTGTGTCTCATTATTATAGGGAGCAGTTGCTATGCTGAGAAAGTATGGCATGGAAGATGGGTTGTTTCTGATTCGCAGCAGTATCAAATGCCATGGATATTATGTTCTCTCGATGGCTGTTGGGGGTAAAGCATATCATTTCCAAATCAAAAGCAGGGTAGGCAATAATCAGAGTTTGTTTCAAGAGCAACCAAGCATTGCATCCTGAGGCAATTAAACTCTGTACCCTCATGTCAGTGTTGCTGTTTATACAGAAATAGAGTGGCAGAAATTGCGGTGGGCTCTGCAATCCCCCAGTTTGCTACAGCTTAAAAGTTATATCTCTAAAATTGATTTTTTGTCTCGGGAAAAAGATAAAGGCATCTTGAGCAAGAGATACATAATTAAGCAAGATATACTGAGAATATATACTCTCTAACTACTCAAAAACGTATTTGCTGCCGCAAATGTCTAGATTTCCATATTTTATCTACGATATTTGCGATATTTCACTTTTAGCATATTATATAACTCAAACATAGCATATTATGGGAAACATAGTACGCTATTATGGTAATTTTATATCTACAAGTAATACATAAGTATGCATATGAAGTATTGGACTCACATCTGTCATTGACCTTGTTTTTAGAAAAATCTATTAAATGCGATCTAGGGTACCTCTACATCAAACTGTCAATGTTTAATTTTTGGTTTTTAACTAGAAGCATTAAACCAATTAAGATATTGTTAAGACTTGAACAGAAAATATCAACTTTATAGGACTAGCCTTTTATTTATTAATCTGTTAATATGCAAAATATTAATGCTTGTGTCATAGGAAAAACATCTTATCAGGTGTTTATTTTTGTCAAAATTAATATGGGCTATTTCTGATTACTTTCTCAATCGTCTAGTGCTTTTGTCATTAAATGAAAGCTTTCTCATGCTATTGGAGGTTTAATTATTTGTCGTATTACGAATTGACAGTCTTTTTTTGTAACTGATGGCCTAACCTATTTTTCGTGGCCAAGAAAATATTCAACCTTCATGGTAGTAATTTTCTTTGTTTCTTAGGCCGATCGTTGGTATTACATAGACGATGGCCCTTTGTTCGAAACTTTACCACACGCAGTGGACCACTATTCGACGCATATGGATGGCTTGCCAGTGCTCCTTCGCGAAGCAGTTCCTCCGAGCACAGAAACACGTCCTGCTCAAGCCCCTCCTTCGCGTTCTGGTCCGTGGAATTCGGCAGCTCCAAGAGCCTCTCCAAAACCGCCTGTTGGAAGCAAGCCGCTGCCCATGCCAAGAGCAAATTTAAAACATGTATGTGATTGCCAGTAATTTCTCAAATATGAAATTCTGTGTTTCTCCGCTTACTGCTGTTAATTCGACGGTTCTAAGAGAAATAAGCCTTGCTTGACAAAATCTTCATGTAATGATATTTACTTGCCTTTCAGCAATAGATGTGATTTGTAGAATCTGCAGTGAATAGTGTTTGATTTTTTCATTTTGAAGAAAGATGAATCAAAATTAGTTCTAACTACACTACAGATTATCATGACACTAGACTGCAAAGGAAATTTTCTGTGCTCAAACTTCAGTTTTCAACGCCTACAACGCTCTCGTTAATCTACTACTCGTTAAAGTACTACTCGTTAGTCTAACTCTTTGCATCTCATTCTCCACTATTAAATATATTTTTTTCAGGCAAACATCACTTAGTGATTTTGTTACTTGCTCTTTAAGGAATTTCTCAAGATAATCAATAATCTGGCGCCAATTGTAACTGAGTTTTATAATTTAGCTTTTTATAAAAAAGGGAGAATTGTTTCAAATCTGCTAGATTCAGTGATCAGGTGCCTTTCTTTTCATGTTATGAAGGTAGAGGATGACAATGCTGGCGATTTCAATAGAGCTTCAAGTTGGAAGAACGATGCACCAGCTGTTCCAAACAGAACAAAAGGTATTGAAGCCAAGACTCCAAAATTCACGCCTGTTGATTTTGGAGATATGTGTAAATGGTCGTTAGTAATCACCTAACTCTGAAAAGAATTCTAAAGTAGTAAAATCTTAAGAATCATTACTTACCGTAAAAGCTCTATTAAGCCCTCTTCTCTCTCATGCCCGCTAGCTATAAAGCCCCCTCTCTATGAAGCCCCCCTCATTAGCCCCCGATTTCAAACAGAGGGCATTGGGTGGTCTCTTGATGGGTGTGATGCCGATAAGATCGTGTGGATTAAATACGGCCGATGTAAAGATATCCTTGTGCGCCTTAGAAGCCAGTCGGAATTTGTTTAGAAGGTGTCCTTATGGTTATCAATTGATCCTGGTGACTCTGAGAAAGATGAGGACATTATAATTGATTGATTTTAAAAAAAAATCGAAGCTGCTAGCAAAATTTTTTGAGAACATTTGTGAACATTTGAGAACATTTGAGAACATATGACATTTTCATGACAAAAAATGAATAAGGGCATTTTTATAACATTTTTTACATTGAACTATGAAAAAGCCCCCTCTCTAATAAGCCTTCTCTATTTTTAGCCCCCCTCTAGGACGGAAAAGAAAAAAAAGGCCCCTCCAAGCTTGTTCAGTAATCTAAAAAAGTTTATAGATCGATCAGTCTTGCCTTACTGCCCAAACCTACGCTGGTATCCTTTAAGCAAAGTAAAATGTAATTACGACGTTAAATGCAAAATTTAAAGTGGTAATTCTTAAGCTCTACTTAAAGTCTAGAATATTTCCCCTTTTGAGCTTGGTAATTTTGTGTTGGTTTATGAGTTGCATCTTGATTGTACTGAAATTTCCACTTAATAAACTGGAATTGTATTGCATATGTTGTATTCTTTGCTACCTACTTTACGAAGGTAGTTTTTGGACACTGAAAAGCTATGCTTATCGAGCAATGTCCTGGTCCTTCCTCTCGCCTGGAATAACAGAGAGCTAGCGACTCTCCTCACTCTGAGAGAAAGTTTGGTCATGTCAGGGACTCGATCCACGGACCCTTGGATCTGTAGTCAGCGACCCTAACCACGGAGCCATTATAGAGTAGTGTGATCTGCGTGGTAACAATCTGATCGGCAAACAGGTTATTGACTCGGGGAAAGAATAGCTGTTTTTCACATTATAACTAACATTTACACCTATAATTCTGATAACTCAAGTTGTGTTTTTTTGTTGCCTGCTTCAGGGTCAGATGAGACAAAGCAACAGACAATAATTACACGGGATTCATTAGAATTGGGAAAAGAGCTCGGGCAAGGTGAATTCGGCTCCGTGTTAATGGGAGTCTGGATAAACCCCAACGGCGAACGGGTATTTTTATTTGCCTCTTATTTCCTTCAATTGTTTGAAATATCAAAACTTTCACTACTTTCAATTTTTTGTTTTCTTCCTTTTAGTAACAGCCCTTAATTAAGTTTTTAAACTTTGAAAGTAACTCGTTTTGGGGTTTTTTACACTGAGCTAAGGCGTTAACGGTGATTATCATCTGTTTTAAATTTCTAGGTCTCTGTGGCGTTGAAGACACTACACGAAGATAAGTTAACACAAGGAGAGCAGGTAAAATTCTTGAATGCATGGTATTTACTGTCTGTTACTTGGTCCCACCGATTGAAGCCCTTTTATTTTTGAACAGTAAAATACTAACTTCGTAATTAACAGTTCCATCCTAACAATTAGTTCACCAAATTAGTGTATTTTTTATATTTGGTACTACTTAGCACCTGAAGAATGTTTTGGGACACTGAGAAACTATCCTTGTCTAGCTGTGTCATTGCTGTGTCCTCTTGATTTGGCCCCATCTCTTGATTCCTATGCCTGGAATTAATACGAGATGGTGACTCTCTTCACTCTGAGTGAAGGTGGGATCCTGGCAGTTCGTTGTCTGTGACTTAACCACTGAGCCATCCCCACTACATTCCCGAAAGTCGTCTTTTACATGAGTATGTTATTTTTCAATTTGAAGATAGCACAGAAACGTAGCATCCAAAAGTACTTTTCTTCGTCCAAGCATTCTGGACTTGCTCTAATAACTGATTTGATTGATTAGATACATAGGCCTCTTGATTTAAGCCAAATACTCATCCTACTCATACCAAAGAGACCAAATCTCACCAACTTTCTAGGCTAAGGCCTAATTTTGCTGAGTTGCTGTGTACCACATTGACCATAGAAACAGTGGTGGCGCCAGAGGGGGGGCAGGGGGGGCTACAGCCCCCCCGTCGGAGGAGGCTAGCCCCTCCGTCGGAAGATAAATTATGCTTGAATTTTTTTTGTCGGAGCGAATTTTTTAAGTTTTGGCGGAAATAGAAATTTCTAAAAGGACTGTTATCAGAATTCAGGAAGCTCATCCCAAAACAACTCATCGACACATCAATTTCATGGTAAATAATAATCTGTTATAAGAAGTTTGAATTGGTTGTTTAGATGTTCAGTACCAGGTGTTTTCCGCATGCTGTTAAATTTGATCTTATGTTATGGATAGTGCAGTTCGTCCAAATCTTGCTTGCTATGGGGCTAGGAGGGGCAAGGGAGGGGGCAAACGTGCCCTTAGTAATATGTCAAAAAACGTAGTAAAAAACACGATTACACCATTTTGATAGCATTTTTAGCCAATCTAATGGGTGTAGCCACCAAAATTTTCCCGGGGGAGTACCCCCGGACCCCCGAATTTTCGGCTCGCAACGCTCGCCTTCGGTCTCCAGTACCCTTACAATTCCTTGTCGCCCCCTAGCCCTATCGTTCTCTAAAAAAATTAGCCCCTCCGTCGGAAGTGCTAGCCCCTTTGTCGGAGGAAACCTAGCGCCACCACTGCATAGAAATCTGCAATTTGTCGTATTACGATTAAAGCTCCTCTGAATGTTGGTACCAGGGATTATCTAATCACTTTTAAGGGTTTTTGACTTGAAAGTCACAAATAGCAGAAAAATCTCCTTATTACAAGGAGAGAGACATTATTTGCTCTGCTTCGTATTGTTTTCTAAAGTTGCGGAGCTCCATATGGGAAGGTAAAGCTGAAATAATGAGGTAATTGGTGGTGTGAATGATGCAATAGGTATAGTTGAGTTTATGTAATTGAATTTGAAAATTTTATTGAAAAAATCCATTAAGTAGGAGGAAGTTATTCTTTTAAAAAGTTTTATTCAAAGAGTCTGTTTATTCCTTGGTAGTGAATTCTACAGAAAAGTTAGGGTTTGTTACCAGTAGAACAAACTGTCAAACATTTACTTTGATAAAATTCCACAAAGTATGGAGATTGTAGTTGTCTTTTGGTCAGCGCATTATTCGGTGGTATTTTGTAAGTATCGTATCGAAAAAGCCAAGAGAGTTTCTGTTATTTCAACTGATGCAAGATTTCTTCGTCGATTAGACATGCGAATTTTATGCACATAAATTTATTCATTAACTTAATTAATGTAATTCATCTCTTCTATAGGAGTTTCTCAGAGAAGCAAGAGTTATGTCCAACTTGAATCACCCTTGTATCGTAAGGCTTTTGGGAGTCTGCCTTGGACCACCGATGATATTGGTATTTGTGGACTTTTTGATAAAATTTTCAACATTTAGACAACATAGCTCTTGTTGATCTAAAATGGAAACAATCTGTTTCGCAAGATTTCTAATAACCAGTCTAAATGTGTCGATTGAGCTAAGACGAAACAGTTGAATGTTTGGATTTTGTGATTTTATGGAAAAAATTTGTGACATAGTTTAACCCTCTCAAGAGTTGTAAACAGTTTTTGTTATTTTACTTACAGTCAACATTGTGCTCGTTCTTTCAGTATCATTGCGTAGTGCAAAACTCTCATGAAGCAACATCGTTAAAAGTACACTGACATGCTTAGAAGCAACACCGTTTTGGTCGCTTTGTTAAATCATCTACAAATTTTCCACCAATTCCAAACTGCCTCTTCCACATAATAGACTTAATATAGCAAGGCAGTATACTCATTGCTTTATTAAAACATGGAACTGAAGCTAGATTGAAATACTTTATATCATTTCATAGATATTTATCTGTTACCAATTGGCTGGATGCATTGTTAATGTTTTTCAAGGTCAAGCCTTCCTGAGCTTAGAAATACCTCTAGTCATTTAGTCATAATTTTTAATCACTGTTTTAGGTTCAAGAGCTTGTGTCTATGGGGGCATTGCTTGATTACCTGATTGATCACCAGTCTGAGATTTCACAAAAGAACTTAAAAGTCTGGGCGGGCCAAATTGCTTGGGGAATGACGTATCTGGAAGAGAGGAGATTTGTTCACAGAGATCTTGCGACGAGAAATATTCTTTTAGGGACCAAAGACCAGGTACTTCGCTCTTATCAGCAATATGGCATTCCTAGTAGATCACTTCAACGTTTTACAGAATGACTTTTTATTATGGCTTTTTCCTCGGGTAAGGTTGTGCCATTTTCAGAGCATTCAATAAGGCGTAGATCCTCTTTTTTCGAGTTATCATATACTATATAAAGAACAATCCGCAAAATATACTAACGTTACGCGCATCAACTCTCGTGTTTCTCTTTTCGGCTTATTGTAACAGCTGCTCGTGAAGAGCATTGCAACTCCTAGGCACACTCTGAGCTTATAGCATTTCAATTGATTGCCAATTCTATGTATTACGTATTGGAAATCTTGCTGATCACTGTATATGATTTGTTTCATATTTAGCATGGCAAATTCCTTGTTTTAGCCCTTGTTCACAAGAATGATTTGACGTATTAGATTTTGTCTTGATAGGGCCTAATTTTTTATAATGAGAAACGCTTGTGTCATTCATTGTACAAGGGTGGTTTTAAGGGGGGGGGGTCCAGGGGGCCTTGACCCAAGACTCCCCTAATGGTAGTCAGATAGGTCGCCTGCAGCTAAGAGAAAAAATTATAGGACAAAGGGCCTCGCAGGTGTTTCTGGCCTCGGACCCCGCAGCCCCTAAAACCGCCGCTGACATTTTAGGTCGGTGTGCCAATTTGAAATTGACATTTCGTTGTTCCTTTATCTCGTATAGGTTAAAATAAGCGACTTTGGCTTGTCGAGAGCGGTTGGTGCCGGTAGTGACTACTACCAAGCGAAACAAGGTGGCAGGTGGCCAGTTAAATGGTAATTCTTTGAGACAACCTATTGCTGATACTGAGAATAAATTTGATTTTGTAAGAATCGATTTAGATCGATTAGACGAAGGTTTATCTTAGTCGTAAGATTTATCAGGAAAAAAAATAAATATTTGATATATGATGGTGTTGTATATTTCTAGCAGTTGGGCGAGTAAAGTCTTTATATAATGCAACAGGAAAATACATCTAAATTTGCATCATTTGCCATTTCATGTCTTGCGTATCTGCTCTCCTGCCCGATGATTTCATGTCGATGATTTCTTGTATTGTCTCAGTGCTATTTCTGTTGAAGGCTGACTTTTCTTTAGGTACGCTCCTGAGTCCATAAATTATGGGACATTCTCTCACAAAAGTGACGTTTGGAGCTATGGAGTTACATTGTGGGAGATGTATACTTTTGGCGAGTTACCCTACGGAGATATGGCTGGCGCACAGGTGAATATTCCAATAGTTTCCTTAGTAAGGAGGTTTGAGATCCTCCTCGATTGTTTTCATCGTGAGGTCTTTTCACGGTAGAGGTAACTTCTAAGGGCTTCCAAGCAAGTTCACTTTTTGCTAGAGATTTAGTTGGAATAATATGCAAAAAACAAGAGAATTATCCACACGCAGTATTCTTAAAACTCGAATGCGTTTTTGGTAAGCTTAGAGGAGTAGGTACACTTTTTTAGTACAAGCATTTCTGTTGTCAAACTGACCTGTATATTAATGAAGTGATTTTTTAGATTTGAACTGTATAAAACCGCTATAAATGCTTGGAATCATTTGGTGTTCAGTATTTGGCGTTTGAAACTGCTGAATGTTTGTCATTAAACGTTTGAAATTGCTAAACATTTTTAGTTTGAAACTGCTGAATGTTTGTCATTTAACGTTTGAAACTGCTAAAAGTTTGTCATTAAACGTTTGTAACTGCTAAACATTTGTGGTTTGAAACTGCTGAATGTGTGTCATTCAGCGTTTGAAGCTGCTAAGCGTTTGTAGTTTGAAACTGCTGAATTTTTTTCATTAAAGTTTGAAACTGCTGAATGTTTGTCATTTAACGTTTGAAACTGCTAAACATTTTTAGTTTGAAACTGCTGAATGTTTGTCATTTAACGTTTGAAACTGCTAAAAGTTTGTCATTAAACGTTTGTAACTGCTAAACATTTGTGGTTTGAAACTGCTGAATGTGTGTCATTCAGCGTTTGAAGCTGCTAAGCGTTTGTAGTTTGAAACTGCTGAATCTTTTTCATTAAAGTTTGAAACTGCTGAATGTTTGTCATTTAACGTTTGAAACCGCTAAAAGTTTGTCATTAAACGTTTGAAACTGCTAAACATTTTTAGTTTGAAACTGCTGAATGTTTGTCATTTAACGTTTGAAACTGCTAAACATTTTTAGTTTGAAACTGCTGAATGTTTGTCATTTAACGTTTGAAACCGCTAAAAGTTTGTCATTAAACGTTTGAAACTGCTAAACATTTTTAGTTTGAAACTGCTGAATGTTTGTCATTTAACGTTTGAAACTGCTAAAAGTTTGTCATTAAACGTTTGTAACTGCTAAACATTTGTGGTTTGAAACTGCTGAATGTGTGTCATTCAGCGTTTGAAGCTGCTAAGCGTTTGTAGTTTGAAACTGCTGAATCTTTTTCATTAAAGTTTGAAACTGCTGAATGTTTGTCATTTAACGTTTGAAACCGCTAAAAGTTTGTCATTAAACGTTTGAAACTGCTAAACATTTTTAGTTTGAAACTGCTGAATGTTTGTCATTTAACGTTTGAAACTGCTAAAAGTTTGTCATTAAACGTTTGTAACTGCTAAACATTTGTGGTTTGAAACTGCTGAATGTGTGTCATTCAGCGTTTGAAGCTGCTAAGCGTTTGTAGTGTGAAACTGCTGAATCTTTTTCATTAAAGTTTGAAACTGCTGAATGTTTGTCATGAAACGTTTGAAACTGCCAAAGGTTTGTGTTTTGACGTTTGAAACTGCTGAATGTTTGTCATTCAACCTGCTAAACATTTGATGTTTCACGTTTGAAACTGCTAAACCGTTGTTTTATTCAACGTTTGAAGCTGCTAAACGTTTCATGTCTGATATTTCAAACTGCTTTGCTTAAAAATTTTCAAAAAACGGGAGATGAAATCTGTTGCAAGCTGTTAAACTTTCTCCGCAGGTCATTGCGTTTCTCGAGCGTGGCGAACGACTTTCAAAACCGATGGACTGTCCAGAAAAAATTTATCAGATTATGCTAAGTTGCTGGAATGCTGAACCAGTGAATAGGCCGTCATTCAAGAACCTTTATGCAACGTTTATGAAAGACCCTGAGTATGGAACTGTCCAGTCCGGTCGCAACTCTTTGAAGCATTAATCAGGTCAATATTCTCTGCAAATAATTAAAATGTTTATAGCATCATATTTTAGATACTTAGGTATGCAAAAATTAATCTACCGTATTCATTCGATATTTTTTGGCACGTTTGGCTGGCATTTATTATCAAGGACAGTTTTTAAACGCGGGTGGCTTACATTATTTTATCCAGATCTTGTCAATATTCCTGCAACCTTGAAGCCGAGGGTGATAATATAGAAAATGAGAAAGAGATACTTCTGGGTGCTATTGATGATCCCATACTGGAGGATATTGTTGTTGGTTGAAACGTCCAATGTTTTTTTGGTTCAAGTACAGAATCAGGTTTTTCTCAGTGTATGAATCCGACATTGCAAACCAAGTATCTATGCATGGTTTTTTGGGTGCGGCTCACATTTTTTATGAACTCAATTTGCCGCGGCTTATAAACAAGGGTGGCTTATGAACAAGGGCGGCTTATTATCGAATAAATACGGTATGACTTACGATCGTGGTTCCACGGTATCCAGTCGTCGAGATGTTAAAAAATTTAGAGAATCAGAACCCCTTGACATTTAGGAAGTTTATATTCTCGAGAGCCTAGTTAATTTACGAGCTGTGCTGATTAACTCGGAAATACTTGCCTCGGGCGCGAATGGAACTGCGAGCTAGGACTATCCAAGGTTTTCTCTAACTGAATTACGTTTTCAATGATTATAACCCAAATACATTTTGTATTATTTGTTAAAATTGGTAAAATGTAAACATTTTTAGTAGAAATTGGTACCTCTTTAAATATTGAACTATTGTAAATTGTAGCTGTTTCTTCCTCGTATAATAGTACATTAAGTAAAAATTTATAGTAGGATCTTATGGTAGGAGCATTTATTTTCATAACAAAAATTCAATGTTTTGTGTTCAAGTTTCAGTTCAAAGGCTGCTTCATTGTATGCTAGTTTTTCAACAATGGTTGAAAAGAAGTTTACCTTCCTGCGAAGAGACTTCGAATTCATCCTTCATTTTTTTTCCAATTCTTATCACAAATAGTTCCCAAAGAGCTGATAAGCTACTCAGATACTTTCCAAAATATTTGCTGTTTTATTTATCATTAATGTTTTACCCAATAGCAAATTCAATTTTTTTTCTTTTGAGTTTTTATGAAACGTTTTCGTACGCAATCTAGTCCATAAATGAAAGTCGGGATGGTTTTAGAATAACACAGTCAACTAGCATTCTGGGTCAATCTTCGTAAGATCTTTGCGTCAAATGGAATTTAGAATTTAATAAGACAGAAAAATAATCTTAACTATTTCCCTTCCTTCTTTTTACACTCGTTTCCCCCTCCTTTAGCTACTCCTTTTTGCATTATTATTCTATTTAGGCCTTTTCTCTTTACAAGTATGATTTCTCCATTCCCTAAAGAAGATATTATTGGTGCAAGACCTTTTTGTAGAATAACTTCTTGCGATTTAGGACCTAAAAATTGTTTGTTTGTGGAAGAGGTTTTTGTGGATTAGACAGACCCTTGTCCCTTAATTTTTCAAAACTGATTTTTAAGTATGAAAACTTTCCCTTGAATTTTTAAGAAACAGTTTTTGCGATTGACAGCTTTCCGCCAGACATTGTGGGTTTAAAGTTTGTTATTAAAAGATTATGATATTGTAGCTCTTCAAAAATTCCGTTTCTTCACAGATCAGCCAAAAAAGTTTAGGAATTTTTATGGTTCACCAATTTTGAAAAAAATTTGCCCCCCCCCCCCTCTTTTATCTTACTCCTTTCTTTTTCTTTTCTACCAGTCCTAAAATTATGTTTACTTTTCTTTCTTTAAACACTTCCCTCTTTTTCTTTCCTCCTCTTATCTTCTTCTTTCTGCTTTTCTCTTTCCTTCCTCTTTTTCTTCCTTCTGGACAACTGAGCTTCCTGCGAAGCTGTTTCGCGTCTTCCACACATTTTCTCCACCTCTGCTTTTCAATGCCACCTCTTAATACCCAGATCAGAACATCACTGTGACAATATGAAGGAGCAACATGGCAGCCATTTATTATAGCTAATTAATTCTACTGGTTCCACCATACATTTGATCCTCCTAAATGAACACACTGCCAAAACCATTCATTTCAGTGAAAAATACATCAGGACGAGGATAGTATATAATAGCATATGGTTGAAAATATGATCATAATTTAAAGATTTATTACAACACTGTCCTATTATAAATTAAATAAAAAAACTAAGGAATATTTTAGATACTACGAGAAATAGATTGGCAAAAATGACTTGTGCAATGAAATGAAGTCAGAATTTGTTAAGAGATTGGGATTTTATTTCTTCCTGTAAGTGAATGTCAACAGATCTCATTCTAGCAACTTTTTCGAGCTCGAGGTTCAGCTATACATTTTAGATAGGAATACGATGTATTCAAAATAATTGACCAAGATAAATAAATTAAAGAAAATTAGAAGCTAATAAAGATATCTTTGAAAAATCTACCCCTGCGAATGCTTGTTCTTAAATTCAACGTTTCTATAAAGTACAAAAATACCGCATAAAAATATCAAATATTAAAATTTATAAACTGCTACATAGAAACCATGAAAATAAAATAAAGTTTTCACATGAAAATAAAAAAATCAGCACTACTGCGAATCATGTATACAATGCCAGAAATACGGCCGTTTTGTTTTTTACTAAGAGCTTGCTAAATACAGACTATAATACAAATTTATAAAATATTATCTTCAATATATTACATTGGGGTTAACCTTTAAATTTGGGGTTAACCTATCAGCTTTAATAGAATTAATCAGTTAAAGAATTTTCTATCTCTGAGAGACTGCGTTCGCCTTAGCCTCAGGCTCCTTCTAATTGCACCTGTTCCAAAATCCTGGAATGGATCCGTTAGAGATTTTCTCCTCCTGTGACCTTTTGTCATTTCTAAATAAGGGTGAAAAAGAAGTCTTGAAAGAGAACACTCGAATTTAACAATAACTCTGACCACAAAAGCACATCTTTATAATATGGTTTTATACGGCGAGGTCTGGATTAAATGGATTTTGTTCTTTTTAAATTAATAAATGAAGTAGCATTATTGTTTAAAGTGATCGCAAAGAAATTTTGAATTTTTAGTGACATGGTTTCCTTGATAAAATTGGTGCTAGAGCATGGAAGACGACAGAAACTATGTGAAAATTTTAAATTAAATAATGTGTTACCAACAGGCACATATTGGGTGATATATCATGTGTGGAAGCAAAACTGAGTCACCGTAGCAAAGCTGGGTATCAGCATTGTCGACGCCAAGGGTGGTTTGGGGGTTATTAGCCCCTCCCCCTACATTTGTCAAAAAATTGTCTACATATTTCTTCTAAAAACGGATTAAAAAACGCTAGGTAGGGGTAATCCATATTTCCTAAAGAAAATTAACCTGGTACAAAGCACTGAAACGAGGCAAAAAGGGCGTGGTCAGTGAGACCCTCCTATTACACTCTCACTCTGCAGTAGCTGGCGCCGCCATTGGGTACCAGGGGAGAAAAATTAAACCTTTTTTATAAAACAGTGTCAGGGGGTATAGGAATCTGTTCAAAACATCATAGCAAGGGGCCATAAAATCATTAGCCCAATAGAAAGGGAGATGTAGAAATTCACAATTATTTGTGCATTCATAAAGGTGTGGGATTAAACAGGAAATCTCTGAAAATTTAAGATAAATTTTTTCTTACCTAATTTGTTTTTAGACCTTGCTGAAGCCATTGCCGCCCGCCGAATAGACATTGGAACGGTAGTTCCTTGAATAAATCAGGACAAAAAGTGTTAAGTAAAACAAAATAGCAAGTAAAGTAAAAATAAGCAGAGAGGAAACTCATAAATGATTTTAGTGTTGGAATTTTCACTCTTTCCCAATTTGCTAAAAAATTTGCTTATCACGCAGTTTGGTTTTCTTTTTGGTTTTCATCAATTTTAATAATGTATATAACAATGATCTGGCTACATAGACCGGTATATAGAAATGCCCAACAAACCGGTATATTTTAAGGCATAACTGTTATTTTCATAATATACATCAAGGCATGATTTGACCATGTGACCATGTGACCGGGCCGTCATAGGACATTTTTCATGAATAAAGTCCTGAAGGAATTTTTTTAAAATAAACCCTTTGCAAAAAGCACCTTTGTTTCATTCATGTTCTTCAGAAGAAAAAACACGAAAACGGAAGCAAATGTATCTTATGTATGTGCCTTGTAAAGATTAAAATGGTTTTTCTACGTAAGAACCCTTGGGAATGCTTTTAAAATTCATGTTTGATAGATGTTAACAGTTTTTCATCATGCCTAGAATCTTTGTTACATTTTTTAGAATTCTTGAATTCTTACAAATTATTGCTATGTTGTATATTTCGCATAACAGTGAGTTTTGATGATTGAAACAAATTTTCTTTTATGCTTTTTGCAAATGTCGTCTTCTCGGAGCTTGGTTATATCTTTTTAAAAATAGTTTGTTCAAAATTTGCATGGATACAAGGACATCCATCATATGATCAATTTTTTAGGCTAATTTTTCAATGTTGTTTATTTTAATGCCTACCCCCAGCACCCAAATACTTTTTCACCTGCATTCTATCAATCTTCAAATTCTGATTGTGAATATTCTCAGCAGTTAGGAGGTTATTATTTTAGCTAAGCCCTGATAAACATACTACCGATTGCTCGAAAGCAAGCTACATTTGCAAAATAATGGAAATAGTGCAAAAGAAGTTAAAAGAAAAATCAATTTATTGGTCAGACAATTTCGATATTTCCCATGGTTCACAAGCGTGATAATATAAAAAAGAATAGCATAGACTGGGAGCAAGAGTTATTTTATGTGCCATTAAAATTCACCCAGATAAAAGTGAAGCAACTGCACATTGACAGGAAAACATTTGAGTCCTCGTATATTACCACTTTGTGTCATAGATTCAACTATTCTCCTTTCTCGTTTGAAAGCATCGTGCCAACTATCCAACTCAACTTTGCTGCCGGCGCTAAACCAGAATGTGTTATTGCTTGCCAGGCTGGTCACTCTGATGACGTTGGATGACTTTTGTCCTGAAAAAAGTAAAGGAAGATTATAAATTGATATATCTAGCGAAAGTGGTTTCAGATCAAATTACCACCCGAGAGCCAAATTTGGTCGAATATCCACGTGTTAATAAAACTGTCGACGCACTAAATATTCATACAGAAAGAAAGCAAATTGAGCTCTTTGATCTAGATACATCGAATTAGTTTAATGTTAAATAGCATGGTATAGTACAGGCTTTGATAATGGATGTATAATTCATTATAAAACCAATGATGTTACCTGCTACGTCACCAACGATATCCACCCGAGCATCATCTAAGTCGAATCTACTGTAATAAACTAACTGTCGCTGCTTCTTCGATAAATCCTAGAATGAAAATGCGAAGATGTAAACGACACTCAAATGGGAGCACTAATAACGAAAGGGAAGGCTCACAAATTAATTCTTCATCCCCTTTCCATCCATTGCATGCCATCTCAAAAACCAGCTTCCTTTCACCAAACAAGAAATTTTATACATTTTGGGACAAGTCTTAGGTTAAACGACAAATTGATGACGCAAGACCGACAAACCACTACCTTATATGCGAACGAAACCTTCATTTCACCTTCAAAAAGATGATATCTCCTCCGTCTGATAAAAAATATTTACATAGTTCAACTTAAAGGAAAAATTAACTTGCTTTTTCTCGCAGGCTCGGGGTTGTATGTGCTGGAAAACTCGCTATCTGTTCCCTAGGCCCTATATCTCTTATTATAACAAGAATATAGTTCTATTGTTGGTTGGGCCTCATCTTGTGATAGTGAGGTCATGTGTCGTATGGCAATGCGAAGAGACTGAAACGCTTACCACTTTGCATAAAACAAGAAGATAATCAAACAAACTCAGGAAAATATTCTCTCTTTTTCCACCAAAAAGGCTTTCTACAACACCAGTCTTGACCTTTTCACAGCTCACTTCCAGAACATCATCGCCCTACGGAAATAAAATCGTTTTCTTAAGAAAAAAAGTTTTTTCTGAAGCAGAAAATTCACTGTTTTAGTACGGCATGGATAAAAATCATTTAGTAGCACCGGTCATTTTATGTGACAAAGGCCTGTAGAAAATATCCATAATGGCAGACTTCTGAGCCGCATTAAACTTAGAGTAGCCTTTCTTCGGAATTTGGGGAGATGGTTACAGCCTATGTATACTGGGGGTTTTTATACTGCTCTTGTTAGCTTCGCTTTATTAAAACTGCAATTGATGGACTACGAGTGATAGCTACTTAACCTAATTCTTTAATCCAAATACGACATATCAGCGAAATTTTTTGCCAACCTGCCAAGCTTCAACACTCAGCTGCCACTCAGCAATGCTGTTCAAATCTTCAAATTTCTTTTTCCTTTCGTTTATTAAAGATGCAACCTCCTTCATTTCGTGTACTGCTAGCTGTAGATGGCCATAGTCTGGGTGTTCTACGGGGGTGTGCTTCAGTAGTTCCTTGAACAATAAAAAAATCAAATATTGAGAGCATTTGAACAAAATTCCTTCTGACAATTCAATAAAAAACATTGTAGAAAATTAGATACAAAATCAAAAGCATATTGTCTAAAATCAAGGTCGAAATAAAAAAAAATTGAAGAGGAGGTTTCATCGTTAGGTTAAAAATGGTAGAGTTTGACTTGCTGCTGTTGGTTCTTTAAATTTGAAACGAGTGACTGTAAAAAGAAACAATAAAATCGATTGCTCTTGGTTTTATGCACCTTAACGAAGCTGCATAAGGTACGAACTTTTTCCTTTTGCAAATAATTAGGCTGCATCTACTGACAAGTGAATAATTTCTTGAACGTTTTTCTACTAAAAATAAGAGCAATGTCATTTCGCTGCCGTTCAAAATTTTAAATGAATCATCAAGGAGAAAGAGAATTTTCTAATGATATACGCTAAAAATTAAACATTTTTTCCATGCATTTACCATTAAGGATAGATAGCATATAGTTCTTACATTGAGTTGCAAAGGGTACTTGCATATCTTTTGTACCGGAGTGAGCAGGAAAGCGTCAATTGACAATGGGATCATTTGCTGTATCAATCTACAAGACTTAATAGAGATAGAAAGTAAGCATAAGTCTTTCAAACTGCGATAAATAAAATCGTTTATCCAGAGACGGACCCAGGAATACCGCCAGAGAAATGCCTACTCTAAGAAGATTTACAGCCTCTTCAATGGAGCACATCACCCAAAGGCCGAGCCAGGAACACCCACCACCCCAGTCGAAGAAAAATCTCTATTTAATCAGAGTGCGTCATATCAAGAAGGGCCACCCAATCTGTCGGCGAAATGCTGACGGCACTATTGGGATCTGCGAGGAGCAAATCAGCTTAAAAATCCAACTTTCTCCTGCACCAATCAACCCCCTTCCCCCCCCCCAACTTTCCTTCCTTCCAGACAAGCGCTTGTAAGAGTGAATCCGTTACGTACTGGACAATTAATAACATGAAAATCTTGAAAAATAAGCAACACGAAATAAATAACTAGAACATTTACTAGTAATTATTAAATCGTTTCTTGGCCAAATCTCAACCCATCAGTTTCTCTCTGCAGCAACAAAGAAATTATGATATTGATAGAGAGGTGGCGTCAACGTACAAATAGCAGAGCAAATGAATACTGGAGAATAGAGGTGGCTTACCTCAAAAAACAATTTGTATCTTTTCTCTCTCTGAAGTCCATGCAAGCGAATATTAGCATTGGGATGATTGTTGCAATATTCAGAATAAAGATCGAAATCGTTTTTCTAAGGCAAATTAGATAAGATATATATCTTAAAATTTTTTAATAAGAAACGATTAATGTTAAAGAAAATCATTAAATTATGTTTCTGTTATGAAATCTGTGGTTCTTCATTGAAATCAATGAACAATGTGGTCTTATTCTTTTGACAGAAACCGCATTTCTTGATAATTATGCAAAATAAAATCTGCACAGCTGCATAACATTATATCAAATTTTGCTGTATGATAAATTCAACTTCAAGTAGAAAGACAAACGATGAAGAGGCAGCAGGGTAAAGTCTCTAAATTCACTATGTCGTTGCGCTTTTGATACTCGTGAATTAAAACCATGATATTGAAAAAATATTATCCCCCTCACTGAGAGTTTAGCAATAGGACAAACTTCAAAGTGGGTAGGGCACAAGTACAAAGGGCATAATGTGGCTAAATGGGGCGCGATTCAAAAAGTTTTAAAAAGAGAACTCCCAAAGAGGAGGACTTTCCATAAATGGAAGGAGATGTACCGCTGGTGGTCCCGGCTGTGACATCCTTGCGTTTAGATCTACGCCGTTAACTATTTGGACTACAACTAGGCCCTAAAAAACACATTTAAAAGCGATGAACTTTGAAAACGCCGAGAATACATTAAAAATAATAGCTAATACAAACAAATGCAAATCTCAGACTATTGCATTTACTTTGAGATTTAGTGCATCAAGGACACTTGAACATACTTGAATGCAATTTTTCTTCCAAGGTTTTTTAAATTTAAGTTTAGTAGAAAGGAAAATGACTATTGTCAACATAATCGATGAAATTTTAATCAAAAGATACATTTGAATCACAGTGGCACCATCGTTTAATTTAAATTCTGATTTGAAAAAGATTCAAAGATATAAGATTGATCTTAGAGCGCCAGTAGTTGACTCGTATGCAAACATTTGTTTTTTGAAAAGTGTTCAATGAGAATTATGGCGCCGGAAGTGCAAATCGCAGGCTTTTGAGAGGAGAAGAGGCGAAGATACATTTGCGAAAAGGGGCGCAATGATTAGAGAGAGGTGGGTACCAAACTGCCTGATCGTTGGCCCTCTCTAATTCAACCCTGCTGGGACATAAATTGGTGGATACTTTTTGGGAGGGTGAAGGTACAATTATTCCAACTGACAATAAGCCAATTATTATTCTGAACTAAAATTGCACTAACTAAACTTATAAGCCTTTACTTAAAGAACCTTATACGGTTCGATCACTTCCTTTCTGAATTGAGAATATTCTCAGCAATAGTGTTATGATACTCTCTGACGTAAACAAGCATTGGAAAAGTGACTTAGATTTTCCGATTACTCCTAAAATTTAGACTAATCCATGGGATTTTTAAAAGATTGGGGGTTTGACACCCCCTTCCTCACACCCTCGTTATTAACGTGCTTGCATCACTGGATCGGTATAGCCGTATTTCGTTATTATTTGTAGGCGAAGAGGTGCAATATCTCAACTTGTCTTTGGAAGATTGTCGTACAAAAGCTAAAGTTCTTACAGTAAATGCCCTAAACTGACACTCGTGTGACATATGGATGATAAATACTAGAAAAATAAGCAGAAGAAAGTTGTCACTTACATGCGAGATAAAAAGATCTCCAATCTCAGTTTTAAAAAGATCTCTCTTATTAACTCGTCTTCGAAGCTTTTCGAAAAACTCTTCGTGCAGCTTGAGAATATCCTCAATATTGCAGAAAATAATGGCGATGTCATCTTGGCTAAAGAGGTCTGGACGCTTGCGTGACTGTATCAAGTATCCCTACGGGAAAATCAGCATAGCTTGAAAGCATTGCATCTGCTGTTTTCTTGATACATCTACAGTTACTCCAAGCTCGTCATAAAAAAAGTCAGAAACCAGAATCAAAGGAAAAGCAACCCTTTTTTATAAAAAGACAATTCATTACCCGTCCCCTTTAACCTTAACTGGCATTAGTAAAAACTTTAGCTAGTGGATGAAGAACATCTTTAGGGGGCTTGGGGGGGCTCAGCCACCGTTGTTGAAATAAAGAGAGATTTTGGGGATGATTCCATATACCAACAGATAATTTTCAACCCAAATGCAAGTATATGGGACGTGGTTATGGGTGTGGTCCTGGGTTTGGCTTCTTGAAACTCCCTACGGCACAGCCCCTCTCCCTAATTATTTAGGACAGCACCCCTGGTGATGAGAATTCAAAAAGTAACTTCTACTCAAACAAAATGTATACCAAATCAAGTCAAATACAAAACTATTTGTTTCTACCTCACCCCAAACTAAAATGCAATGGCTATGTTTCTACAAGAGCAGTCTAGCAGTAAATCATTTTGATACATTTTTACAAGATCTGTTTGAAAAGGTCTTTGGATACAATTTGCATCTGGAAGGCCTGACAAGTTCCAATCACCAAAACCAGTGGCGGACACTTGGGGGGGGCGAGGGGGGCGACCGCCCCCCAATACTTTAGAGGACAATGGTCTTTTGTTCTAAAACAATGGGAAATGTGACGTCATCTTATTAAAACAATAGGCTTCCCCCCCCCCCAATATTCGATCAAGTGTCTGCCCCTGACCAAAACTTTATATGAGCATTGAATCACACAACAAGGAAGCTACCTGCAAATAGCCATCACAGGCTATTTTTGCTAAGAGCAAAGAGACAAAACTTTTCATACTTAAAAGAAATGACACACATACACTATATTTTTCTGCTAGTTAGAAGGCTGAAAAACAATGAAAATTACCTCAGTTACATCTTTGAGTGTTTTCACATAATCTTTTTCTGTAGTTAAGAGCTCATTGATACATTTTGATCTCACTTCACCTTTGCTTCGCATGGTTGCTTGTATTCCCAAGACTGATATTGTGTTATGATTAGCCTTTGGTTCAAGTACTGAAGATTCTTGATCAATCCTTAACTACAAGAGATAATGACATAAATCACCTTAATTGGTACCTCTTTAATCTTATAATCAAAGTTGTGAATTGCTTCACTTTATTCTGTTACCAAACATAGCACTATCCTTGCTTAGTGATAAAAAATCACCAATTACCTTTCTGGGTGAAAAAGAAATGGACCCCACCAAACATTCTAATCTCAAAATATAACAAATCAGTGGAAAAAACTACACTACATTTTGCATGGCATTTTCTGTTTTTAACAATTTTCATAGCAAAGATAGGCTATGGTTACTTACTCTAACATTTGAAGCTGGAAACCACCCTTTGCCATTCCCAGCAGTGCCCCACCACCAACGTTTCTTGCTCATGAAATACACTGCAATAGTCTCCTCTGCTCTGAAACTCAATTCAGACTTTTTTTCACCAGTGTAGTCCCACAATGCTTCACCAAAAGCCAACGGCAGGTCCTGGATGCAAGTTAAAATTCTATTAGACTATGCAGACTGGTAACATTGATCATAAATAGGTAAAAGTTTTAGCTTACACAAATATTCAGTGGTTAAATATAAATGGGTTCTATTTCATACTTTCCAAAAAACCAATCAAAAGTATTCTTTTTCCAACCCTTTGTAATTTAGTTTTCTGTCTCTCACAGCCTGAGATTTCCTATCTAATTAATCACTTCAAAAGTAAAATGTTGATTTCATTTAAAATGGCATTATTTTGCATCCCTTTTTCTTTAGTTATCCAAAAATCTTCCCTATTTATCAATGTCAAGCCTGATTACCTTCCTATCCCTTAGACTGGAAAACTTGACAGCACACATTTTTGACACATTTATGCTTAGAAGAAATATTTTCTAGAGTAACTAAGCCTACTGGAAGCACGTATATCCAGTTGCATTAGCAAATCCATTTGTGATTCTTTTTTATTATTCAGTATAAATATATTTTACAATACACAAGAAAGATTGAATTAAAGGGAAGTGTGTCAGTCTTCCATGCAACCTCTCTTTAACCAGTTTTGAAAACGTTTATGATTTTGGATATATAAGCTTTGAGCATATACTTATACAAATGGTAATTTTAGTCAGGCGTGGGTGCAAAATATCTAGCTACAACATATTGAAGTCAATTAAGTGTGGCTACACATATACACGTTTTATAGCCTTGTCTTTAAACCAAATGAAACAAATTGAAGAACAGCACCTTTGAAGGCAAGCTTAATTGGTCCTCTGGAGCAGAGTCCTGGTCACTGTCATCATCACCATTACCATTATCATTCTGTGCCTCACTTCCTCGCCTTTGACTATCTTCAAGAAAATCTAATGATGAGACGCTTTCATGAACAGAATAAGGTCGTCTGTGAGAAGAGTAAGGTACTGTACGTTGATCATGAAATGGGATGTTTGGAGCAACTTCAGTCTGTGACCGATCTACCTCTAGCATATATGGGCAGCTAACGAATCTTCCAAGTCTTTTGTTTTCAGGGTTGATATCTTTTCTATCCTTGGTTTGAGCAAAACTAGATTTTTTGGTTACATCTCGACTATAAACATATTTCTGTCTTGAATTAACATTAATATTGCTTGAAGAACGTTCGTGGATGCCATGAATTTGATTGTCCAGATCTTGAAAATTGCATACAGTTGAGAAACAGTGTCCATCATAGGCCAGAGGAAGACTTGGATTCTCTTTAAACACGTTAGGAGATGAAAATGTATGCAATCGATTCAGATTTCTCTTTCCAGGATGGGGTGAACGACCATCGTTTGTTCTCACAAAGGACTCGACAGTTTTAGTATTCTCTCTCAACTTAATGTATTGCCTTGACTCAACACTTTTTGCTGATGGAACGCTGCTCGATAAGATATCATTAGAATGGCAAACTACATCTAGGTCCAAATCAGTTGCTTGCAGTATGTCTCTCTTTGAAGAAGACTGTTCTAAACAATCAAATTTCATGAACGAATTTTGCACCTCAGAGACTGGGAAAACCAAAGAAGCTCTAGATCGACGAAATGAACCGTGTTTGTTGTGGACACCAAGTGTTTCTGTTTCCCGAAGACTGTCTATTGAAAGCCTTTTCAAACAAACTAAGTTAGGACTTGATAAAGAGGTGGTTTTGTGATAGGCCAGTTGATTGTAAATTTGGTCACTTCCATCATTGTAAACAATTTCCTCGTTATGTGACGAAGCTTGATTATTTTCATCTTTAGAGACGAAATACGTATTTGTAACTTTATCCTGTGCGGTAGGGCTTGAATTGCAAGCACTTTGCGCCTTGCCCTTTTTGCGCCTGAATAGCAACAACCGTGAAAAAATACTCCTTGGTGCTTCTTCCCTCCCAATGCGAGGTAATACACCGAAACTTTGTCGTGACGACGAGCTTTGGCCAATATCGTTCGATTGTTGCACATTATTACCAGTATCAGAACCATCCAATCGAATCTTCTTTTTCCTTCTAAAACTAAATTTAATATCCATAATTCTTCTTCGGTTTGCCCGACCTCTCTCCGCCTCAACCATGTTTTTAATAGAGAGCGTACAACAACAGCCTTTATGGGAATACCAAAGGTTGCATGACAACTACTAATCTCCTATTATAACAACCTTTTGTTTACACTGAAAGTTCTCAGTAGGGAGACAATCGGCTTTTTCAACCGATTCGTTTTACATTATCCGGCAGACCGCAGTTGACCTTCCTCCATCAGCAATCCATCTTGAGTTTAAATATGTAACATTGTCTAAAAAAACATTGGAGATCGTAAAGCTTTTTTACGCAAAAAAACAATTCAGGGATAATAGGAGCATCCCTAAAATTCAGGGACGTGCCCCCCTTAGTGAATAAGGGTGATGATCGAACGAAAAATATTTCATTTCATTTCATTTTCATATTAAAATTATTTACCCAGGGTACAAATTCAGTCTAAATACTGTTTTACAATTGACCCTGCAAAAAAAAATTACTTACAAAATTAAAACATTATACTGTATACAGTAAAATTTACAATGAAAATAAGAAAAATGATAATGATTAATTCCTATCGGGGCCCTTACGACAAACTTTGCTATACTTAGAAACAGTTTGGCATATGCTCTAAGCCCTTGAGGGTCTTTTCGGAGCTGCAGCACCGCCCCGCCCCTCCCCTACCGAGCCACCCTATCAGCCACACTCTACTTTCAAGTTATGGGTCTGGACCTGCAGCACTGGTTAGCTACATGCACTATAAGAAATGGTCTTACTTATTTTTGCTCATTTTGTTTCCATACAAAATATATTTGCTTTCGCTTCATTTAACATACAAATTTTTAGGGCCCACACCGCCGGGGGCGGAGGGGCCATACTCCCCACTTTTTTGGTAAGCAATAATATTTCCAAAGAGGCCCTGTATTGGAGCACTAAATTCAAGTTTGACTGATAGAACTTGGCCCCTCCAACTTGAAATTCGTGGCGTGGGTCCTGATTTTTGAAAATCAACAAGAGAACTTTCTCAGGTACAAAGTATTTATTGATGCAACATCCTTTTCAATATTTAAAATCTATAGCAACTCGCATGAAAAACATGTCTAATAAATCCACCAGAATATACGACAATTACAAAGAAGGGCAAGGCCCCAGTCATTGAAAGATGCAAATGTAGATTATTGTGTCACACAGTGTCGGACTGGCTCAGAATTTTTAATCGGCCATGAAAAACTGAGGGGGGAGGAGGCTAGGTGGGTGTGGTCTGAAAATTGGGGGCGTGGTCAAGTGAACACTTTATCAAAATCGATCAATTTCTAAGCAAAAAAATATATGTAGCAGGAATTTGAGCTGTTGATGACAAATGTGTGCAGAGCACTCTAATTGAAATTTAACATTAAATAATGAAAATTCGGTCTAGTTTTTCAGTAATTTTTGCGCAAGATACCTTCTCGTAGAAAACAAAGTTAAAAGTAATAAGACAACTAACCTCAAAGGATAGTAAGTTTAAAATGAAAGAATATCTGAGGTGTGAGGAAGCCTCATCCCTACTGAAGCTTAAACTAAAGATGTCAGACCTAATAGCAAACTACAAAGGAAAGTAGGACACTGATTCGCTTTGCAGAGGGTGTGGCTCCCATGAGGAATACATTGAACGCCTTTTGAATTGTCCAAATTTCTATCAAATACCGAAAATGGAAAAGACTTGTTTAGCGCCACAGTTCTCAAGAAAACAACAAAACACTACAAATATTTCTGAAACCAAAGGATTTACTAAAATTTCAGACTTGATACGTGCTTACATATGATATTTTTTTTACAAAACTTTAAGGTTTATCATTTCGAAAAACCTTTCCATTCAAATGCTATCAGAAGTTGCATTTCTTTCCTTTGCATTTCAAGAAACCAGTGATCAGTCCTGTCCCTTTTTTGCAACAAAATTGACTTCTTTTCTGAGAACCACTTGCTACCCAAAGTTTATTCGTCCATTATTTGCAATATGGCAAATCCTTGTCATTTTCTTGACATCTTTTTTATGTCAATTTTTAAATCCATGAGGCAATACCTTTACCCGCTAATGTTTCACACTAAACAGTCAAGTGCAAGCAAAAGCTAGATTATTCGGTAGAAGAATCTTAAGAAGATACAGCAGTCCCCGTTGAAGTATCATTCGCATTGCAGTATCTTAATGCCATGGCTTGAGAAAATAAATAATTAACGCTGAGTTTGTTTTAAAGTCAACTACTGAATCGCAACTCCTTACTTTGTTGCTAGCTTCGACCCTCACCACTGACAAAAATTAAAGTGAACTCTACAACTAATTTTGTGCATAAAAACTGAGCCTGGGTCTATGAAAAATCAAAATTCCAGAAAATTCCATCATGTTAAAAGTTCCAATTCCCTATTTGCCTCCCATAATTTACAAAAATCATACTTTTTTAAATTTTGACCCAATCCTATTTACAACCACATGCAATGACGCTATGTTCAACCTCAGTGTTGATGTAATCCATGACGTTTATCATTCGTAATGGGACATCGTAAGGCCTCACATTCCTAAAATGGGGCCCTTCTTATGCCAAGATGGGCCCCTTTTGCCAGATTTTAGAGGGGGCCCATCGGCCACGGGCCGATGGGCCGGTGGGCCAGTCCGCCACTGGTGTCACAGTTCCAGACAGATTAAGCAGAAACGAAATACAATAGTGGCCGAAGTTATTTCAAATTACATTACGAATACAGTCTGCTCTCGATAAGTGGAACCCCGGATAAGTGAAACTTTAGTTTAGTGGAACCAATTTCCTCGGTTCCTTGGATTCGCATTAACAAACATCTCTTATTTTATTCGGAAAAGTGGAGCCCTCGATAAGTGGAACTTTCGATAAGTGGAACCATTTTTTTGGTCCCATGAGCAATAGTTATTCACATAAGTGGAACTTTTCCAAAAAGAATCATCTTAAGTACATTCGAATCATTTCAATCAATACATTTTTCATTCGAAAATCCTTGCGAACATTCGATTGCTATCGAGTAATGAAAACAAAAAATACATCAGCAGTCACATTTAAAAAATGGCAGCTGTGCACTCATCGAAACGAAGGCTTGCCTGTTTAACTATAGTCAACAAATACAAGGCTTTAAAAGAAATTGATGCAAACAAATCTATTCCCAAAGTGAATTTATTAGATGCCATGAAAATTCTCACCGTTTGTTGGGAGGACGTAACTGAAGAAACAGTGAAAAAGTGCTTCGCTAAATCTCACATTTTCCCCTCAAGACGAAACAAGCGCACAAGACGATCTAGATGACCCGTTTATTGAATTAAGAAGCGATCTGGAAAAATTTAAATCTCTTGGCGTTGATAGCCTGTGTTCCAGACCCCTAACTTGAAAGTAGTTTCTCTACTTTCAAGTTAGGGGTCTGGAACACAGGCTAGGCGTTGACGAATACCCTGAAGAGGTCTCACTGGAAGTTTTCATGATGAGCCTTACCCTGGGTACCAGACTCACTATATACTATATATATGATAAAATTTTATTTTATATAAAGTGAGTCTGGTACCCAGGGTAGATGAGCCTATGTTATCTGACGAGTCAATCTTTGCAATAGTACGTGAAGTAGAGGAGCCAATCGAAGTAGAGGATGATGAAGAGGATGGCGATCAGTGGCGGAGCCACGGGGGGGAATGGGAGGACAAGTCCCCCCCCCCACTTTAAGATAAGATAAGAGATAAGAGTTGTTTCCTCCGGAAGAAAATGTTTCAAACAGGAAAAAAAGGCGTGGTCCAAAGGGCGTGGTCCATGACACACCCTTTGTCCCCCCACTTATCCCAGGCTGGAGCCGCCACTCTGGAATAGCCTACATCAACACAATTAAGAAGTGCCATTGAAACCCTATTAGACTTTTTTATAGAGTCAGATAAGCTTCAACGCTGTACCATGGAAATTTCCAAATTAATTGAAAAGGAATTTTCACAAACTCTAAAACAAGCGTGTATAAAAGATTATTTTGCATAACTACATTGCTTTAAAAACACCATAATATGGAACATAAACACTTATAAAGCCTTTCTTTTGTTCCTTTCCCCCTGTTTTTCATTATTCGTAAATGAACCGTTCTCTAGAGAAATCAGACAAGGAAGAAGTTCGATATGTGGAACTTTTTTTCCGTTTCATGGAGGTTCCACTTATCGAGAGTAGACTGTATATATCTTCAATGATGAATTGGTTTCTTGTTTAAATCATAGGTCTACGCTTTAGAAATGCCCATTTTTTTAGAGAATGCCGTATAGTTTTCAAAAGAAAATATTTCAACTGTTTTTATAACGCTTGTTTGCTCATAATGTTTCTATTCCATTTTAAAAATAATAGTTTTGCCATATTGCAAGATTGCGAACAGCTGAGCTTCAAAACAACATTTGATCCAAAGTAAGGCTTTTCACGAAGCATTTAAACAAGTTAATTGTAAGCTTCGACACAAGTTGGAAAGTAGGGTAAGGGGGGGTGGCAATGGCAAGTTAAAGACTCTTAACAAAAGATTTTGCAAAAAAGTCGCGGCTTTGTCCCATGCCTCGGGGGCCCCTTGCATAATGCGACCATTCCAAAAAAGCAGCTACGTCTATAGACTTTCCACTAGCCTGGGTTTAAACTTCTAGTTTGGGGTCTGGAACTCAGGCTAGTGGGAAGGCTGCCTATGTTACAAGAAAATGGGATATTGAGGGTATTGAAAATGGAAGTGATCTTCCACGCAAGCACAGAATAGAGAAAGACTCAGTATAGCTTGTGAAATACAGAGAGTAAAACAATGCTAATAGCCCATTACAGTAATACTAAGCAATAAATATTGTTAATGGCACAGCGATTAATTGAGAGGGGTTTTGTAGCACAACTATCCGTCCGCATCAAATAATTCTAGGTGTCGGGAGGCCTATACCCCCTCTAATCAAGAACAAATTATCTAATCCAGACTCCGTTGGGCAATTGAACCCCAATGAAGTGATAATACTCGGGCAAGCTTGATACTAAGCCCCCCCCCCCCTAACGTGTACCATCTGCTGCGCCCATACATAATATCATCAAACATTTTATCAAGTCACATTTTATAGCATTTGGCAAAAAGACACTTCTGTATGTAGCCATGCTCAGATGGTTAGTTTATATCTAAATTATTCTTCCTTAGGATAAATATGTTATACGTCATACATCGAGCAAAATAACCTTTTCACTTATGCGCACTAAGGGGTCATTCACAAAGGACGTCAATTATGAAGGGGGAAAGGGGGGTTTGGTGAATCCGGATGAATTCGGACATAGGGGGAGAGGGTGTTAACGCAATCAAGACGTCCAGGTTTCAAGATATTGGAACGAGGCATTTCAAGTCTCAGTTTGCATTGACCTTATCGTCAAATAAATCAAATGTATAAATATATTGATGACTGTGGGATCAATTTGGCAATTTTTAGATAAAAATTTTCACTTCTGTTCATTATACAACACAAAACAAACAACAAGAATTGAAACGTTCAGGAACTGAGGCAACCAAAGAGAACAAAGAACACGTTTTCACAAATGAATTTCATATAAGAAAAAGCAGACTGTTTCACGCTTCCATTTACAAAACACACTATAAATAAAAATTTAGCTTTTTGGGTGGCTCGATCCATTATAAACTTCTATCGATGACCTTATGCGATGAGATGATGATTTAAGCGAGCTTGTCTTTGCAGAATGTGCCTTGGACGAAGCAATTTTTGACGATGCAGTCCCTTGTCTTTTGACAGACAAAGTATGTCCTGTCTTTGCTAAACCATTCTTTACTGATTTTTCGGTTATTTGGTCACTAATCCTTCTTGAAGGACTTTCAGGCTGCAAAGTAGTGCATTCAGCGTCAGTAGTCGGTGTAGCTGTGCCAGCCACCTCCGCATCGGCAGCGTTTCTGCTACGTCGGCCTAAAACAGTGGATTTTGATTAAAAATTACGAAACTAGCAATCAATATTGCATTGAAATATAAAAAAAAGTTTGCTTTGATAATGGTATTCAGGAACGTACTAACTAGCGGGAGGGGGGCCAGAGACACCTGCCCCCTACCCCACGCTTTAGGAAGTTACTAAAAGAGCATTTTGATTTGGAACGTGCTTTTATCAATTGTGCAAATGTATTTTTTAATCTTAAAAGGACAATTTTGATCTCTGAAATAATCAAATGATGATTTCTTGCCAGAGCATCGATAATCCTCTTACATTCAGGCACGGATAGTCTTTTAACATCCTGACTGGTGGGGCAAATGCTTCAACAGAACCAACAAGCTATGGTCCCTTTGAACCAGCATCGCCTTGTTTGAGACTGGGTGTGGTCCATGTGCACTGAAATTTCTGCACACAGTCAAAATCTAAACCAGAATACAGCCACACCAATATATTCAATAGGAATAATTACAGAATGATAGCAAAAAGAAAATATACTGTTTTCGAAAATATGTCAAGAGGAAATGTAACTGAGTGACAGAACAAGCACATAGGTCGACCCCGCAACCAGTCTTCTAAAAAAATCCTTTTCTTGCACTGACATTAGAAATATAGCCATTAAAGCTGCAAGTATAACTAAACATAGAAGTGCATCTAGAAACAAAGCAACAAATACGATCTAAACGGGAGACTTTCGATGAACAGCTGCTGGAACCAAAAGAGGCAGGCTCTGAAAACGTATTTTTGCTGTAAATCCACATCGTACATGATAAAAAAGACATAGCAAAGACATCCTTGTAAAATTCAACAAACAATGACACACAAAACATAGTACAAATTCAGTTTATGTTAAACCGTTTTAAGCAAAGAAATGGAAAATAATTGAATCCTCTGCTTGTTGAAACGATAAATATTTTTGTTTCCTGGAATTTATCAATATGAACGAAAGTGACATTCAAATACTTCAAGATAATTTTTCACCTGAAAAACGAGCACATTCTTCTTTATGTCGCATGTTCCAAGCTTTGACTTTGCAGTTTTTTGAGCAGTAAAATACCTCCTTACAACGTGTACAGGCTGCAAGTCGCACCCCTTTAAAGGAAAGTTGCATTACAAGATTACATGAATAATAAAAGTATGGATTGAATTACCAATCAAAAAAAACTATGGTGTAAAGAGTTCGTTACTTATGAGAGAACAGCCTTTTCAATTTCAAGCTTGCCAAGGAGCTTTTATCGTCAACATTTCAGTAACTTACAACTTCAGTTTCATTGTGAACATAAACTAAATTAGTCATTGCGCTGGTCATCAACCAGTTTAGTTTAAAAAGCAAGATACAGATCTAAAAAGAGCGGCATCAGCACAGCACTAGATCTTCCGTACACAAATATATACACATTTTGAGGCCAGATAAGCAAAGAATAACTAAATAAGTGCGAGGTTGGATAAGTGCTTAAGGTCGCTGATTTCAGATCCAACGTCTATGGCTCGAGACCTTGACATGACCAAATCTTTCGCTCAGAGTTATGAGGGTTGTCAGCTTTCTGTAGCTTATCGAGAAAAAGATCCAAGACACTGCTTGATAATCACAGCTCCCAAGTGTCCTAGGTGCTAGGTAGCAAATACATACAAACAAATTCAAACAAAGCATCAAGTAACGCTTGGAATACTCTGTATTACACAACACAAAACAAGGGACTGGACACCACTTACCGAGCAGTCGACCACACTCATAACAGTAACGGAACCTCCTCTTCGCCTCAAGTCTTCGTTGATTGGCTGCATTTGTCTCCAAGGCAGCAAGGGTTTTCGCATCATTTGATTTAACGATTGAAAAGGGCAGTCCACAGTTGGGATCACGCTTGGGTGACCTGTCTCCAGAGTTCTCGCTGGAAACCTTCTTACTAGTCTCTTTTTTTGTAGATGGATTTTTTGCAGAAATGTTTTTACCTAAATCAGCTGTGGCTACATTTTCATCCACCCTTGCTGTAACAGAAATTTTACGTGAAAGAAGTTACGAGAAACACCTTGCAAAATATCAGTATTCTTTTGATGAATTTGATCAAGTATCGGGACAGAAATCAGAAAGATTTCCTCTACTAGGCATTTCAAAGGTGTACCACTGAGATAGCACTTGAAAAGTAAAAAGTTGCTATAAAAAATGTCCCAAGAGGGAATAATCGTAGCATAGAATTCTTGAAAAAACGTTTTCTTTCTTGGCTATCTCTGCCTGTCTTCTGAACATTTTTTCTGATAGCGAAGTTGCAGAACTAGGTGTGATTACAGTCATAAAAAACCTTGAATGTTCAACATGGTTGGGAAATTTTAGGGTCTATATCTATATCTTCCTCCTGTTGCACATCTTTTATTGACATTTTAGAGAGTAGAATTGCCATTATTTCAAAATGCCTACCAACAATTCAATAATTTGTGTTGTAATTTATATTTTTCATTACATTTCTCTAAAACTTCTACTTCAGCCTCTTTCCCCCTTACTACAATATCGAGAGTTCAGTCAAATACCAAACAAGTAAAGCAACAGAAGGTACTTTCTAATCTCCCATGTCTTTCAATATTTAACCAACATCTTTACCTGGGGGAGAGGGGATGGCTGAATCTAACCTTGAAAACTGACATCAGGGTCCCAAGACTTTTGGCAGGCATTGCAGATTTGGTAGAAAAGCCACCTCTTTCTTGAATACAGAAAAGTAGCTAAACTTGAATGCTCTGATTACATACTTCATACAAGAGAGAACCAAGTCAATGCACAAAGATGTGACATCAAAAAAACGAGGTTTAGTTATGAAACAAAATTGAAGTTAATTGAAAGTTTGCAGTTACCTGCTTCGTTGATGTTCAAAAGCTCAGCTTCAAGCATGCTCCTTTCTCTTTTTAACGCAGCAGTGCGAAGCAAATAGCCAAAATGTTCAAGTAATTCCTTCCGTGTGTTGTGACAAGCTCTTTCATGTGCACTGAGGGCATGGTATGGGGTATGGGCTATTCTTCGATCCTACAATATGAAAAATTTCACATCCAGTTCGTCTTCATTGAATAAATCCAACCCTTGCTTGTACTTTAATCTTGTAGAAGGAAAACAACAAAAGTAGAAAAGGAGCCTTTTAATAGCCAAAAAATGCTTTCTTGTGACCTTTGATTAGAAAATTTATTTGAAGACAAAACCGACTTTACCCACAAAAACAAGATCTTTCTACCAGCAACAACAACTGGTGAAAATTAACCTCATTTTTTCTTTGCTTCTCTTGTTGAATTGTCGGTTTTTTACTCAAAAGACAGCAATAAAGTTGAGGTTTAATTTCAACTACTCGTGCCTTAGAAAGTTCTACAATATTTTCCATCTTTCGTTCCAGCCCCATAAATTCACGAAAGAAATGTACAATTAACGCACGTGATTCATACCTGATTGAACACATGATAAGCATAATCAACAACTGTTCCAGGGGGATACTTGTCCAAGATATGAATAGGAGCCAACAGGTCGGCACCTGCCTTCACCAGTTTGTCAATCTTATAGAAGGAAAACAACAGAAGTAGAAAAGGAGCCTTGTAAGAATCCAAAAATAATATAACTGAAAAATTTCAAATCTATTAATCATAACCTTCAACATGCAACACGTTTGTCAACTCCCAACTGCATTACAAAACTTGAAAAAGACGATAACAAGTCATAGTACATAATTGATCAAGATGTTTTGCATTTGAATGTAGAAGAGCAAAGTTATCAAAAATGTTATCAGCCAGTAATCAACAGGATAAATAAAATTTTCAAGCAAAAATGAACTTGAAGAAAATAACTTGAGCATACGACTTTGACTCTATCACTTGGTTGTCTCCTTCTTTCTGCAGTAAATGTTGTTGCTGCGCAAAGTGCAGATCCGACGGCTTTCCCTAGTTTCAAATTTGGATTGGCAGTATGCTTGAGGAGTACATCGACCACCTTGAGAAGAAAAATTGTTTATAATTTGGCGGGCATTGATTTTTATCACAGTTTATGCACATATTCCAACGTCGAAGTGTGCATGAATAGTACAGCTTATTTTGATTCAGAAACATTTATTAAGATTAGATAAAAAACCAGAAAAGACTAATCTTATGAAGAAAATACCAATAGTAACGATAGAAGCAAATTATATTTACAGTAGTGTAGCAATAATGGCAAGATTAAAGGGACACATGCAAGCAAAACGAGGCTTCCCAGAGGGGTCTTGGAGCTTTCACTAGATAAAGTTTCAGACCATGTCTTCTTAGATAGTAGAAAATGTCCCTTTTGAAAAGCATTTTGATATAAGCTGTCAATGGCTCTGTATAAAGTTCCTGCGGACAACGAGATGACAAAGATGTCTCACGAAGACACTCTAGAGATTTTGGGTCACATAGAGGAAGGCTGAGGAAACTCGAAGAAAACCTTTTGATTTGCACAGCTAGAGTGCCTGCGCTGGCACAACAAATGTTTAATTGGTGGCAAAATGACTGAACAACACTAAACAACACTAAAACTTTTGACTTTGCTTAAAAACACTCAACACGTTTTTCACTAAACTTTTCATTAAACAAACGTTGAGACAAATGGTTAGTGAAATGTTTAGTCGTTTTGCAAGGGCGTTAGTTTCAGACTTACAAAATCATTTCCACTGCAGATTGCCAATGACAAAGGCGAATGGCCATGACACAGCAAATTCGGATTTGCTTTGTGCTTAAGCAAATACAAAGCAACACTCTGTGCATCCTGTAAAGAAAGAAAGCGTCATCGGTATAATTTCAAATCGACGAATGAATAAAATTTTGTGCTGCATTGATGAATATGGGAATTCTGACGTAGAGACGTTTACTTAGCACATAAAATGTAGAAAACAGTCTTAAAAATGCCGTCATCAGCCTAAATTATCAATGTTGGGTGGGATGTAAATAGGCCTATACAGAGTTGATAATACCAGAAGATCAATGAACCAGTTAAAGAATAAGAAGTCTTTCTGGTGACAGATCTGATGCGAGACTTCCAGGCTACAAAGGCACCTATAATTAATTGTTTCAGCGTTTGCTAAGTTTTGGGAGATTAGATTAAGATTAAACAGGCGATTTTTCATCAGAACACCGAAGCATTACTATCTACGGTTCAAAATATGTTTGGTTATGCATCACTATCTATAAATTGACTGTTTGCTTCGGTTCCCTTTTACTGCAAGCAAGGAGCCTTTGAGCTAGTTGGGCACTAATTAAAAAAGATATTTCGTTGAAAGTATAACGTCACAAAATAATTATTTTCAGATATTTTGATTGTTGGCCAAAACACACGAAAGAGCACCATAAAATTCCTCAATAAGAAAAATTGGTTAGATATGGACATTGAAATATCAGATATTAACCAACAATTATTTTGGTTTTGTTCATAAAGCTAATAAATGACAACAAAATATGGAAAGATTTGATGAGAAAACAGCCCGTGCCCACGTGGACATATCTCAGCCAAATTGTAACACATCTAGCTGACTTTTGCACACATAGAGAGAGGTGTGTTATGATGCTCTTTCATGCTCTCACAACATCATCTTATTAAAAACACAATTTAAGAGAAGTGAAAATGCAGTAAAAATCATCGGTAGAGATGCAAATTATTTGGCAGCCTAAATTGGCCCAAGAAAGTCGACCTAAGAGAAGGATGAACAATCACCTTATCGTTGTCCTCTCTCGTGCAAACAATGTGGAGAGGCGTCCTTCCGCCTACAGATCCTTTGAACGCCATATCTTCGATATCGGGATCGGCATTGGCCTCTAATAATAACCTCGTTATGTCGACACCTTCGGCGCACGGCAGCGACACTGCTATATGAAGTGGTGCAAGGCAAAGACGCTAAAATACAACAAAACGGCTCGCTAGTAGGCTGGGGAAAATGATTTTGTTGGGACCACTGTTAACCTTTAATCAACTAACCAGATAAAAACGATGAGATAGAAACAATCCAGAGAGAAAATTTATTCATGTGATTCTTGCAATATTAAGAGCATTATTTTCGATTCTCGCTTTACTTTTGCTAAAATTCCTGGTAAATACCTATAAGAAATTTAGCAATGTCGAGATTCCTATGTAGAGATTCAGCTCGGTGGTCATGTTTTTTTCTTTGCAAAAAAGGATGAAGATGTTTTTAGTTACACACCAACTTGGTTTTGTAATAGATAAGAAATGAGACTCTGTTAGCATTCTCATGTGTAGAATAGTCAAATTCAAGTTAAAGTATGGAACAGTTTATGCATTTCCATAAAGAGTCTGAACGTGTTAGTGTTAGTGAGGAATCTATCATTGAGTAGATCACCATCGTTGCCTTAATGGATAATGTTTTAAGTTCAAATTTGGATGTAAAAATCTATTTTGGATATCGAACCTCCTTTCCCCGCTTGGAATACGTATCTCATAATGCTGAAAAGATTGTGATCCAAATCAGTAAAGAAAATTTTGAGCAAGATATTTGGGTGGTACATTCAAGTTCAAAGAAGCAGAACATCGTGTAATCTATTGACAGCAGGAAGGAAACAGTGATCTTCAATAATTAGGTGAAAATGGTTTGTTGAGAAAGGCATGAGTGAAAGACGTATTACGGAAAAATACACCATACAGGAGAAAATAGCATCAAAGAAATCGAACAATTGGATTCTTGTTCAGTAGAAGATGAAGAAGAAGAAGAAAGAGAATAAGAACGAAAAGGAAGAAGAAGAAGAAAGAGGAGGAGGAGAAGAAGAAGGAAAGAAAAATAAAGAAGGAAGAAGATGAATTAAGAAAATAAGGGATTGAGAAGAAGTAAGAGCTAGAGGATGAAGAAAGATAAGAGGAGGATAAAGATGAATAAAGAGGATGGAGGAGAACAAGACGAAGGAAGCTGGCAAAAGAGGCTAAAGATGTACTCACATTCTCGTCTAATTTGATGGATGTATCAGCTCCTTTAGCGAGAAGTGCCTCGCAAGCCTTGATATCCGCAGCTTTGACAGCAAAAAATATTACAGGCATCGGCACAGAAGATGAATTTGGGTCGGCCCCTCGGTCCAGCAATAATTTAATGGTTGACTTCAGATGTGGCTTTCTACAAAGATATCATAAAATTCTAAACAGATTCTAAATAAAGCTATTAAGGCTTACAAACAGAAAGTTAAATTTTACATGATCTTTAGGGCCTAGTCTATGCCTTACAGCAGCAATACATAAACGCATTCAATAAAGCGCAGAAGCTTGATTCGACGAGCAGTCATTGAATTCACAAATGCCAAAATCCTTCTTTCGTATTCCTTACCCCACCAATAACGACTTGGCCCCATGGCCCTGTAACATTAATCATTAGAATGTTCCCTTTAATTCACAACAAAACATCAATTTACAATTACTTTTGCAAGCTGAAGAAAAGTCTACCTCTCGCTATTAAGCAGTTTTTCTTTTGCATCCCCAGTGATTGCCTCGATTCCTGGCGCATGTCCAAAACTACTGTCACCGCAGTAAATACTCTCGTTTGATATATTATCCTTACTCATTTTGGCAGCTTCGTTTTCGCCCCCAACCTCTTTTGCAACTTGCTCCGCAGCGAGCGCAGGCAATGGCACGGGGTCTAAGTCATCATAAATATTTTGAAAGTCAAAAGGCCTGGCTTTCAGCTCTTTGAAGCTTCGATTTATCATGTCCAGCTCCTCACCTCTGCTGAGCGTCCGCTTAAAATAAGTTAGTTTCCAGTTTTCTTGCGGATTATCTTGGTCTTTTCGATCTTCCGCTCCAAAAGAATCCGTTATGGTGTCTACTTCAGGACATTTTTCATTCACTATTATGCCTAAAAACAACAGAGGGAATATATCACTCAAATACACAATTCAACTCAATTGTAGAAGTAAAAAAAACCCAAAATAATCTTGTGTGAATTTTTGATACTACGTAGAGAAAAGAAGATTGTATCGGGTATTGAATAAAATTGCAGTTCTTTGCTTAAAGATGTATGGTTAAAGAAGCATGTTTAAAGAGGATATGGTTCTATGATTAAGAACAAATTTAATGCTTAGTAAAGACAAGTATTGCACACACCAGCGAACAAAAATTACAAACAAGAAAACTTCAGTACTGCAAATAATGGTGTCTTGCCTTCATAATGGCTTGCCATATTATCACGATTGAAATTATTGTTGATCTGATTTTAAAAATTTTCTAATAAACACGATGTGTCACAAAACATATTCTAGAGTGGCTTTACAGTCTTAGGTTTACCTCGTTTACTCAGCTTTGCTCGACAACTACTGGGTGCAATTTTCTTTAATTCTTAGAAAACCTATAAGTTTAAACGTTTATCAAAACGCATTAAAACAAAAAAAAACTTGATGGTCGACAAAAAATGTCTAAAATGAAAATACCTTGGGCTGAATGCAGAGATGCTTTGCTAGGATTTTTTCCTTTGAGTTCATTGCTTGAAGAGCGAAAGGCCCCATGCATTGCTAGAATGGCTTTTCGGTCATTTCGGTGAATAAAGCAACCACGCTGTTTGTCCCATTCTGTACTATTAAATGTGTTTTCCTTTGGAATGTTTTCAGCTATATTGTCAACAAAATCTTGATAGGTATAGAGAAGGACATGACAGGCAGCTAGTGGAGATAACCCTTCAGCATTCAGTATGTTAACGTTTGCACCATAATCAAGCAAACAGTTGATAACATCAGCGTGGCAGTTTACCTAAAAAGGTTGAAGAGGTTTGATTAATTGTCAGTGGATATTTTAATTCATGTGAATTATCATGCAGAAGTGTTTTAACTGGAGAGGGGGGGGGGGTCGATCTGGAGTAAAATTATTATTTCAAGACAGTGAAGTGCACAATCTGAATGAATATTCATTAGCTGAAATTGTGATCCAAAATGAAAAAATCAAAAAAATTTCATCTAAATACACAGAATCATTAAATTAAAATTTCTTTGGAGATACTTTTGTGACAATGTATCTCCGAAAAAATTGTTCTTTAGCAACTCCTAAAGGGAATTTAGATTCTAGAAGATCTTGTAGATTCAGGCTGAAATAAGCTGAGAATTCATCCAACCTTTAAAGAATAGGATAATATTGGCATTAAAATTCATTGGGACGTCAGTTGATAAGAGTCTTTACAACTTTCAACGTAATCAGGCTAGCAATGCCTTATTATCGTAATTTTCAAAGCTAAGTGAGTTTCTTACAGAGGCAGCCATCATTGCGCCAAAGCCAGTGGCATCCGTTACATCAGGGTGCACATCTCCAGACCTCAACATCTGCTCAATAGCCAAGGTGTCTCTTTTTCGAGCACAATTGATAAATTTTTCTGAAATGATTTCCAATTTGCCCTTTGGACGAAACTCCGATCTCCTATTGTTCAATATGTCTTCATACTGAAATTCTTTTGGCAAGGTGAGTAAAATTTCATCGTCAATTTTCCAAATTGTTTTTTTATTGTTTCGATTTTTCTCCGCTTTTCCTTCTTGGGGTATTCGTCCTTTTTCCGGCGATGCATTGATCGAATGGCGTGAAAAATTTTTGTAAGTGAAAGAGTGTGGCAGGTAACTGCAGATCCTATAAATTTTTTCGTTGATCCAGAGGCCCACATCCTGAGTGTCATCCTCAATGTAGCTGAGAATCCCTGGTCCATGTCGCACGTCATCCACATAAATACCCTAAAATGAAGATCGCAATATGGGCCTACTGCTCAAATAGAAAGTTTCTAGAAGTATTAGATTCAAATTATCATATATTCAATTACATAGATAGGTCATATTTTATGAAAACTGTTAGATTCTGATTCTGCGTAGAGGTTTGAATTTCAAATACAAATTTTCAATGTTTCTCGTTAACCTTCAATACTCATAAAATGTAAAGTATTGTGGTGAGAAAAATATGGACAATCGTGAAGATTTCCCCACACTATTCGCCAACAGAAGATTTAGGCAAATGTCTAAATTCTTCCTGGGAGTATTTCTTGCATTTTGTCATTTGTTACATAATGTTATTTGTTTCGATGTCTTCTCAGTTCTGGAGAAGCATAATAAAACAAGTCAGATGCGCACATGGCAGGTTGTTCTCCATTCTGTAACAGCTTTAGACTGTCAAACGACATTCGAGATTTCTCAAAAGTATTTGGATCTGGAAATCTACAGGCAATACCTTTTCTAATTGTCTTCATTACAGAAAATGAAATTTTTATGATTAAAAAGATACAATCAATCAACAATATAAAGTAATAATTTACAAAAAGCCTTCGTTGTGATGAAAATAAAAGCAGACACATGCAGGCAAAGTCTAACGTATCCAACATTTCACACAACATGCAGAACACAAATGTTGGATTAGGTTTTCGATGCACTTAGCAAATCCTCGTTGGGTAATCAAGCATTCGCAAGCTGGTGTTGGGCGAAGTTTGATCGAGATAACAAAATTTTGTTTCCAGATATTGGATGGGATATTTGATGCGTTCGACAGCTGCCTTTTACAATTTGTCCGTGCAGAGGTGATGCTCTTTAATTGAAGTGTTGGAGTGAATGTTGGAAAAAATGCTTTAATTCTTTGACCAACTCTTGTTGGATCTGTATTTCAAACCCATACCTATTGTTAACGTCTTTTGTTACGTTTGATGACTGTAAGGTTACTGTGAGGGTTTGAACATAATTTCTTTATTGGGTAGGAGTAATAATCTACGTCAGAAAATGCTGACAGTCAGCAAAGCCTTGCAAAAAATCGGTGAAAAATGAATAGAATTTCAAAGACAACTCGACATACTTTCTGAAAAAAGATTAATTTTGGTGGTTTTATTTGTTTCACGAAGATTTGAATCGCTGGAAAAGCATGGCTTTTGAGACCACGCCCCCTAACGGAGCATAAAACCTCAAACTGCTAAAAACTAACCCCAATGAAAGCTTCTAAACAACTTTAAAAAGAAGCCTTGTTTGAATAGCATGCTTTGTTTTGAAAATATTTCAATGTACATAAAGCGTATATTTTAAAAAATTGCAATAAAAGTGGGATGTGGTGCTTTCCAATGGGTCAAAACTGATTCTGGCTACCTTTGTTCATAGAACATATGAGCATTTGCAGCGATGTGCCTAGAAAATTCAGCTTTAAGGGGGGGGCGGGGGCGTTCAGAAAAAAGTGGCCAATTACACTTTTTTGGCCAACTATTTCTCCTTAATAAATGTATTAAAAAGGAAATACATTATCACATACACACTAAATGATTAAAAAGTTAGAGCAAATAATGGCGTAAAAGTATAAGGAAATTAAGTTTGCAGAAATAAATTTTTATGCATGAAATAAATTTAAAAATATTCAAAATAAATGTTTGTAGATTTCGCGTTTTTGGGGAATCAATAAGTTTTTATGGGAAAAACTACAGCTTCTTTGAGCTCCTCATAAAACAAAATTTGAAATTATAAATATATGCAGTAATTAGTTATTAGTCTGAAATGTTAAATTGATTGCATCTTATAGCAGTTAGTTATGGCAGATTGTTTGCAATATTACCAAAAAGAAAGCTGAGTATGACCAGCAATGACCAAAAAATAAATTAATTACGAGTTGAAATTTGGTCAAACTTTCTGATTCACAGTAAGGTCCCCACTGTATGACCAACTTTCTTGGAGACATTGGGGGGCATGGGGGTGTCCCGATTGGCACAACCCTGAGCATTTGTACCTAATAAAAAAATTGTAGTGTCACTGAAAAGTTCGTTTTTGACCTTGTTATTGCGGTTAAACAATTTTAATTTTGTTGTGTGACATAGCCCAGGACACAGATTGTGAAAGAACTTATTAATCAAATTGCTCTGTCAATAGACATGACTAATCAGGGACAAAACTGAAAGAACATTTAGGGAAGTTCAAATTTTCTGAAAAAATGCTTGTATTTTGGGAGTGGTCAGTGACATTCTAATATACATAGCAGATAAAATTAGGTCAGGGTCACCAAGGAGGGTATAAAATCACTTTTAGCCAAAATTCCACATCTCAAAACTGTTGATAGATGTTGATGACAAAAAACCAAGATTTTAAGAGTTCCTTTTTTTATAAGATAACAGATGAAGAATACCAAAATCTTTAAAACTTTGTAAAAAGTTTGTTTTCTGTTTATCATTTTCATAAAAATCTGCATCCAGCATGTGTAGAGAATTCTGTCATTCTGTCAAGAAATTGACAATCATATTTTACCACATTTATTAAAGCCTCAAAATAAACAATATGTGCACTTAAACATTCAGAATGATATCATGTTGGCAGTGAATTGTCAGGATGCCAAATATGTAATAAGTTGGTCCCCACGCATAAAAGGTTGCCCATTGCTGCTTTAAATCAAATATACTACCATATGATTATATGATTGACAAACATATAAGGTCAATAAAAGATAAAATAGCAGTAAGCTTTACAAACCTCAAACACATTTCCACTGACGAGTTTCAACTTTCCATATCCATTTCTTTTGTCTGCCTTGAAACTGCCTTCAAATTGTGATCCATCAGGCCAAAAGTAGCTTCCTTTACCTTCCTTTTTATCATTTATAAATTCACCAATATATATCTATACACAGAAATTATGAAATGCTGATGAAAATAAGATATGACATATCAATGGAAATGATGATCCAAATGATTTTCTATAAGCTGTGACCTCAACTTATTTGGTTACTTAATTATATAGTGTCAATTTTCAGTCAAAACCTTGGTAAACAAGCCTTGCAACTTATTTTCAGATGTGTTGAAATAAAAAAAGAGGACAGTTTGCTAGAAAGAGATGTTCAGGAATGAGAAAGTAGGATGATGGATGCGTATGCCTGAGGGGGGAGGGGCAGCAGGGGCTGTGGCCTCCTTGCCCTTGCAAAATTAGGCATTTCTTGTTGTTTTGCTATTGTTGCCCTCATTGCCTTCTTCGAGTGCAGGCTTTTCTATGCAGGATAGGCCAGCATTTAAGGTAATCTGTTTTTGTTCAAAAGAAGGATCAATGATATTTGGATGCAATTTTAAAATTTAGACATTCTGCTCTCTGGTTCGATTATAGTAGGCAGCTTCTTTTTTAGGGGTGAATTGAGTTGTTTTTGCTTGCACTTGGCCAATCAGATATGCTTACAGATCAGGGATATTTTGGGATAGCAATATTCCAAATATGATTAGAAAAATATGAGGCCAGACCAAATAATGTCAAAAATGTTTTATATTTCTTCACACATAATGTGAGAAGTTAGATAAAAATAATGTGCGAGATTTTTATTTTTCTTTGTCTTTCGGTAAAACAACATTATTGGAAAAATGGTCAACTAAATTGGCAACGGGCTTCAATGAAAGCAAATAAAGTTATGGCTCATCCCACAGAACAAAATGAAAGGCTTTATTATTAGCTTAGACTATTTAATAGAAATTAATTTAGAATTACGGAGATGTTTAATTAGGCCATGAAACAACGTGGTTTCCAGAAGCAAATGAAAAAATGTGGAGGAAGTCATCATCACCTCTCCATTCGGCCATCTTGCTTCTCCATGACCATGTCGATGTCCATCTTTATATTCACCAGAATAGACAGAACCATCAGACCATTCCTGTGAGCTTTCGTTTTCTCCTTCTTCTTTCCTGCTTCGATGAAAAGTCGATTTGGTCATGCAGGTACTGGGACCAAAACCAATTCGACTCTGGCGTCCATAAGTAAAGTTATCGAGCATGTCACTATATGGCATTTGGATTCGGTATACGCGGATTTTAGACTTTGGTCTCGAATTCTTTAAAGGGTCATCATTCCCTGTGTCATTCTTATAAGGTTTCAACTGCTCATCTGACTTTTACCATTGAAACTATGTTTTGGGTAAACAAAATGTTCTTTCCCGCCAACAACAACAGCAACAAACTAAGATCGGTGCTAAGCAACTGAGCAAGCGATCAATAACAAAAGAATTTTGGTGTCTTTGGCTTTGCGAAAGTCGATCTGACCACAAACGTTTAATCCCTTAGAGAATTACACAGAATTGAATCATAAAATTGAATCTTGACGCAAATATTGTGACTTAAATTTGAAAAATTGAAATTTTTATGTTGAGTATATATCAATTAAAATCTAATTTCTTCTTCCTTGAGCTAGAAACTTTTATTGCCGGTGTCATACGCGTTTTGGTACCCTATGCAAAAGTGTAACATTGTGAAACACAATGTGTTTCAAATCAAGTGATTTCATCGTAGTGCGATATTATGATACATTATAATTAACAAATAGAACACAATTCTTTTTTTGTTTAAAATTTCACACTTTTTAATCAAGAAAACTTTGGAGTCGCCATTAATGTTGTACTTTTTTGCATAAACTTAACAAGGGAAATCACAGCACCGCTTCCTGTTAATACCCCTTTGTTAGAAATAGTTCAATTGTTTTTTACATTCTGAACATTATGAATCAGAACATTTGTGTTCCCTGACCAGGTCGCATGCTAAATCCCTTCATTCGTTTCAGTTCTCTGTTTTTTTAAAAGCTTGGGTACGTTTTTGTATAAGCAAAATTGTCATGCGTTTCTGTACCAGGACCGTTTTGCATGCTAAATTCCACCATTCGTTTTGGTACCCTATTGTTTAAGTGCTTGGGTATGATTTTGCATAACCAAAATTGCCATGCGTTTGAGTACCCGGACCAAAATGCATAAGGTTTCAGAAACGCATATGACACCGGCGCATTCAGGTTTTCCACCTGCGCACTTTTCCATATTGGCAGCGCAAAGTCCCTATTTGAATACATTTTGCATCATTAACAATACAAATATCTTAAAAGTGTGTGATTTCAGGCGCACACTCTCGCAGTCAGGCATGTGAAATTTCCCCCACAAGAAACAGAGCTTCCAATCTGGGTTGTATAATATTGTCATATGATAATTTTACATGACTCACAATAAATATTAAACACACAAGAAACCCCCAAGGTGAGTTCTCAAATATGAGCATGATAAGGTGGAGAGGCCTGGTCATGTGCAACTGAATTTTGACAAATAGTTGATGAAATTTGCAATGCTCATCAAATCATACTTTTTTGCAGCAATTTTCAAATGGTTTTTTGAAAGGGGAGTGCTGTCATAAAATTTCGCATTAGAACTTTGAACTTAAACCAAACAACTTAAAAAAAGGCCAGAAAATATTTGTCTAGAATGAACTGAACTGCCAAATCCCTTTTCTTATAAACAAATAAGCTACTTGTAGATCAGATATTGCAATATCAAAGAAAGAAATAAAAAATAATAAAAATGTTTAAAAAAAAATTCAGTCACCAAATAAAAAAATTGAAAGGAAAACAAACACAATATTTTCAGTCATCTGAGCAGAGAACTTCATGAGTTTCCCACTTAATGGCATTTTAAAATTCAATTAGGCCCCATCAATACTACGCAGGTCTTCCTTGTATTACAAACCTAACTTAAACATTTTAAGGGAACTCCTCTGCTCAACATAGCCAAGATTTTCTGCTGATGGGGGTTGATGTGCCTCAACAGGACTATATCCCTTATCCTTTCTTAGAGTATACCTCCATTCTCTTTATGGTTATTCTAAATTTTTAAATTCTTAATCATTTGTTATACTGGTTGAGTATTACAGACAAAGCTTTACTAATGCATACTAAGTTTCTATAGCTTCATTCTATATTGACTATGAAACACCTCTTTGCGTCTTAGATCTTAAATATTGCAATAATTGGCTGGAAATGAGTCATTACTTTTCACTGACAGTAAATTGCTACAGGAGCTGAAACAGAAGCAATGGCAAGACAAATCTAAAACTTCTGTCATGGTTACTAAAAACATAGAGCATAAGGTGTCAGTTATCCAAGAAGGCCTTTTTAGGATAGGATGATCTAATAAATACAAAATTTCATAGCTCTTTCTTTAATACAATATCCATGCAACTTCCAGTTGCCTCTTTCCCATGTACAAATGTAGTAACGAGTCTGCAAACATATTATTAGGAACAACATTCCATATGCATCACAGAGACCATGTGTCTATCTTCATTTTGAAAGGCCTTCTCAAAAGCTTCAAGGTTGAAATTCAATTTACAAAAACAATGAAAGTTCTAAAATGCCAGTCTTTTCATGAGCAAATAAACACGTTGATCTACTTCCAATCCATGCAGGTTATTTGCATCACCTTGAAGTCTCATGAGCAACCCACCAAATGAAACATGTGCTGATCTAATGAGAAAATAAATACATTTCATAACATATTCCTTTGAACAAATTTTTAAAGGTTACATTTCAAGTGTAGTTTTCAAGCATAACTGATAAAACACTGATGTACATAGGAGTGGAAAGTTAAAGTGTTCAACACAAGGCTTCTAGGTTGTAAAAAATTGGAAAATACTTAATGTTGGAAATAAATTTTCAAAACAGTTTGCATTATATTGTTTTTAACAGAACAATTAGAAAGCCAATCATTTTTACAAAGTTAAAAGTCAAGTACAGAGCAGTGTGAGCAGATATAATCATTTAAAAGAAACTGAAATAAAACTAGAGTGTTTGAGCATTAGGAAGTCTTAGTAAGGAGCTTGCCTGAACTAGTTTGATGACAATATTGCTCAGTCTTTGCTAATAATATTGAAAAAGAATATTGAAATAAATTGAAATGTAAAAATGACCCTTTGTATAAGGCATGAAAAAGTAAAAAACACTAAAATTAAAGTACAATAAAATTTTGGTTGAGGGAAGTAAAATATATTGGATAAAAAATAGTGAACACATACAAACGATTTGAAGATTCACTCCCAGAATCATCTGCATCAATTCTATATGATTTACCATACATCACATATTCAAATTGGTCTGCTTTTGATGGTCCAGTGTCAGATGGATTATACTCTCCGTCATCAGGCGTCTCATCTACTTTAAGAGTTGTTGTCAATACAACACTAAACTTGTCGTTTAAGTCCACTGGATAAATTTGTGTATTCACATCAAGTATCATATCCATCTTGTAACTTTCACTTTCACAATGCAATCTGGAAACTTAAGTTTATAAAAAAATAAGAAAAAATTCAACACATTACATTCATTGGAAAGAGGATAGGGTTAACCCCGCAAAACAGGTCTCCTTGGCAAGCTAGATTGGTTGCATTTGCATGGCAGCTACATTCATGTTAGAAGTGAATGGAAAATGGCAAGCAAAAAAGCCTTTGAACACAATATCGTAAATACCACGCACGTGCACAAGCAAAACAATAAACAAATTTATGGAGGTTATGAAGATTTCACTGGGCGTGTGCATCTCTCAGCAGAAGTAGAACCAGACAGAGCAAACTGCAATAGAAAGAGTTTTATAAAACAGTGAAAGCAACTGCGTATTGCTTTACCGTGATACTCGTGATTTGACTTTCGTGTAGTCTGCCAATATCACACATAGTTTCAAGTCTGGGCACGTGCATGGACAAAGATTTTTGCGCACACACAAGATGGGATCTAGTAGTCATGTTGCTGATAAAAAAGACGTTAAAAATTTCGAAGTTGAAATATTTTATTCAATGCCAAGACATAACGGTATCAAGCTACCTCTGTCGAACTTTTTTCCTCCTGGATCGATGTCTTTGACAAAGAAAATGTCTTCTAACAGTGATCCCGCCATCTTGTTCCGACCGAAGCCTGCTCAAACGATAAATGAAAAAAAGGCAATTTCCTGCGCAGCGCGGCCTGCCGCTAACAACAACAACAGCTCGCTGAACAAAAACGTGATTGAAAACATGGCGCATGGGGTAAAGCAGTGAAAATGGAAGACGATTCGAAGAAAGCACACAGGAAAAGACAAGCTGGCCCTAAGGCCGAAAAAAGAGCAAAAGGAAAATCGAATCCTGATAAGAAGAATTCAAAGGCATTTGGTTTTCAATCAGTGAAGAAGGCAGCGAGAACTTTTCATCGAAAACAAGACCTTGAGACTAAAAAACAGCATGTGCCAGTTGTCGATAGAACGCCTTTAGAGCCCCCTCCAATAGTTGTAGGGATTGTTGGTCCACCAAAAGTTGGAAAGACAACCCTGATACGTTCACTGATAAAGAATTTCACGCGAGAGAAGTTTTCAGATATACGAGGACCTGTTACTTTAGTGTCGGGTAAGCGTTATTTCTCTTTGGTTCTTACTTTGAAATTCCTCCTGATCCCTACATATTACATCATTTTTTACCCCTTCAATGGTGGATCCAGGAGCCACGACCCCAGGTCCCTCAGAAGGAGCCCTACACTGGGAATGCACTGGTAATGTGGCTTGGTGCACTGACTGGGAATGTTTTATCTGGGGCTAATGTTCGTGCCGGAAAATTTCATGTTTGATAATAACGGGACCAGGGTGCATTCCATGTACTTAGGCCCGAAGATCTTGGCCCGGCGCACACCCAGGTTTTTTTGGTGTTCGGCATGGAAGCCAATAAACAATTTTTTGGCGTACTTTAAATTTTTGTGAGTTGGCATGCTTAACATGAAGTCATATACATAGTTAATGTAAAACAAAGACTCAAACAACACAGTTTTCTCTAATAATCAGTTTTCTTTGTCTGGCGCGACAATTTTTACAGTTTTACTAACTGCACCTATATTTTCTGCATACCTAAACAAATGCCCAGGTGGACCCAGGTTGACATGGAATGCACCCTGGTAACCGGAATACAGGCCATTTTCTATTCTATGATTTTATCAATAATGGAGGCTCTTCTTGACTCAATGCGCTGGATTCCTGTATGCACAGCATGTTATGGTTCATGCAAGATGCCAACATGGTATCATTGAGGGCACATCTTAAAACTAGATACATTCATTTTAAATATGGAAAAACTTATAGTTCTGGCACACCTAGCATTTTTGGGCAATTTTCGGGGAATCTGAGTCCCCCCCCCCCAAGATCTTGTCAAAATTGGTCAAACTGTCTCAGCAAAAATGCTGGATTCACACTAAAATTTGTGCTGCAACTGTGCAAATTTTTTCAAATTACAAAAATGCTCGGATAGAATTTGAGGAAAGAATTCTCTGTGTTTGTTAATCATGAAATTCATATCTCTTTTCTTGATTAGCTCTTTCGTTATATACATATAATTTTCTTCCTGAGGAAAGACATCTTTTCTTTATAGGTAAAAAGCAGAGGATCACTTTCATTGAATGCAATAATGATATCTGCTGCATGATTGATATTGCTAAAATGGCAGATTTGGTAAATATGTCTCTATATATATTAATTGCAAAAATTCCCGTATAAAATTGTGGAAGAAAAATTCACTTTGTTTTCTACTACAAATCATGTTGACCTTGTAGCCCACATATTAAGCTTGTATGTTGAGATCTTGATGGCCAAAGCTGGATAGCCCACTATTAGAAAGAGTAGGTTTGACCTATTAGACTTTTCCATTGAAAATATATACATGTGTAATTGGAGACTTTTTTGCAAAGATTTCTCAGAAATAAATTAGATTTCAATGTTTCAGGTGCTATTGCTTATTGATGCAAGTTTTGGATTTGAAATGGAAATTTTTGAGTTCTTAAACATAGCACAAGTGCATGGATTCCCTAAGATAATGGGAGTTCTAACACACCTTGATCTCATGAAAAACAACAAATCGCTAAAAAAGATTAAGAAGAAGATGAAGCAGAGATTCTGGACAGAGGTTTACCAGGTTTGTTTAAAATTATGACATCTTCATTTCATGAAAATTTTACCTTAGACTAAAGCATATTTTTGTCTATATCCTTATCTCACTGAAGCTTAGGAAGTCTTTTCTGCAACATATTCTTTTAATGTTTTCTACTAAGCTTTCAGGGTATTTTCTTGTTACTTCTGTTTACTCGTTTTTGAAAACTAAATCCTTGATCAGAGAAGAAATTTTGCTGTTTTTGAATACTTTAATATGGCATAGGTTTGCTGAGACCTTTCTTTTTGTGGGGTTGATAATTAAAACTATACTCTAGCACCTGTTTTGTTCTACATCTTTTTCTTTAGTTTTATCAAATTAACTTTATAAATGGAAAGTCTATTACTGAAAGCTTCAGATTATAACCATGTGTCTCGTCTAAATTCATATAGGGAGCCAAGCTCTTCAATCTGTCTGGTATCACACATGGAAGTTATTCAAAAACTGAAATACATAATCTTGGGAGATTCATTTCTGTGATGAAATTTAGACCATTAAAGTGGAGAACTACCCATCCTCATATATTTGCAGACAGGTAATGTTTAGAAAGGAATTTTTATTCAGGCTTTTAAGAATATATAGTTCTCTTGCTTATAGAACTATTGCTTTTGATTGAAAAATAATACAGTAAACTTCAATGTTTCAAATTTTTCCATTCATTTCAGCAATCTTCAACTTTGTGTAACTTTCTGCCTTTGCTCAAGAAGACCTATTGTTGTCAAACACATTCTTGTCAAATTTCATTCATGATTTGCTTGGTTACTGTCTCTCCTGGCAAAGTGTTTTGTTTAATAAAATATGACAGCATTAATTCAACATTGCTGTTAAAATTTTATAATATTTCAAATCTGTAGAACTTTACACCCTTGCAGCTTCTTACAGAATTTAAAATAAATCAAGTAATTAAATATCAATATTGTATCAATAACCCATGAACCCTGAAACTGGAATTGGAAAAAGTAAAAGCAATTTGAAATCTATTCAGTGTAATGAATCATGTGAACTGTAAAATATATTCATATTCCTACCATCAAAGTTTTGGTTGCATGCAAGTTCCAATGACAGTTGATATCTCATTTTCTGTACAGGCTGGAAGATTTAACTGACCCAGAGTCCATTCGGCAACAACCAAATGCAGACAGAACAGTCTGTCTATATGGTTATGTTAGAGGAGCTCATTTACGATATAATTCAAAAGTTCACATCATGGGTAAGCTTGTATTCTGACATTCAGAAATAAACAAAGTCTGTCTCTTGAAGGTCTATAAGCTTTTGAGCTTTGATACTTCTATTTTAATTCTTAATGATTATGGATACCTTGATCTGTAAATTACATTTTTTATTGCTTAGTTGATTATGATAAACAAATGATTAATAATACTTGGCTTATATCAAGTTGCCTTACTTAATCAGGCTTCCAACAGGTAGGAAGTTTTGAAATTTGTCTTAATTTGTACCATTAAGAATTTCAAACTAGCATTATGGCTATTATAGTATTGGAAAGCAGTGAAATCCTTTAGAAGAATGGATCTTTTTCTATCACAATACATTTGTGTCATTGAAAGCTTTCCTTCTAAGCAAATTGGAGAGCCATGTTATTTTGAAAATATTCATGTTACTGACAACATTAATAAACATCTTTCTACAGGTTGTGGTGATTATAACTTGCGAGAGATAAGCTTTCTACCTGATCCATGTCCTTTACCAGAAAAGGAGAAGCGAAGGTCTTTGAATGAGAAGGAACGGCTTGTTTATGCACCAATGTCAGGGGTTGGTGGGGTTGTTTATGACAAGGTAAAGTGACCGTTAGTAGTTTTAGCTTGTGTTTGAATCGTTGCTTATACAGCAAGTTTCCTTTTGAATTTAATTTGTTTATTTTGAGGCTTAAAAGAAAGACACAAGTGTTATTGATATCATGGTTTTTGTTTATCTCATGGTAGGATGCTGTATATATTGATCTTGGGGGCAGCAGAGAGGGCCAAAAGGCTAGAGCCAAAACTAACACGGTAAGACTTCAAGATTAAACTTTGTTTCCAAGAAACTTCTTCATATGAATATTTGCACCTATATAAATTGACACCTATTAAATTGACACCAATAAAAACATTCCAACTGCTGACGAATTTGCTGAGGATTTTGCTCAAGTGGAAACCAGCCTAAAGATATATTCATTTAGAGTTTAAACTTTAAATGAGCATTAAAGCATACTTCATACAAAATTACCCACATGAATCTAATGAAACAAAGTAAGACACTTCCAGTTGATTACAGTAATAAAAAGTGCTGTTTCGTGTTTTGCTGCTGTCATAAAGTCACATAACTGATATGTCTAAATGAATTTTCTGTTATAAGCAGGGTATGCAAGAAGATGACAACGAACTCGTATCATCGTTGCTTGATACTAAATCGACAATAGATGCGAAGATGTCCGCCAGTCGTCTGACTTTGTTTAAGGTTGGTTTACCTTGTTATTATTTGACTTTTGTTTCATCAAAGAAAACCTTATTCCTGGCGAAAAATTTATTCCCCTCAAGAGAAAAGTTTGCTGGTTATTGTTGCTTTTTTATGCTTTTTAAAAAGACTGATTTGAAATTGCTCCTTCTATTCTTTGATCGCTTTTTGCGTGTATTGTTTTTTGTTCTTTGTTCTTTGATTTGATTAGATCAATTAAAAAAATTGTTGTAAGCAATGCAGAAAATGGCCTTAAAAGCAATCTGTCCTCTCAATGATTGGCTAAAGTGAACAATATCTCATCCTGCCTTAACTGGCCTAGCTGTGGTAGTGGACGACATTTAAAACTGCGAGCAAAAGGTGGTCGGAAATGGCAAAAAGATTTAATAACTGAAAATGAATGATGATAATGGAAGCATTTCTTTTCCCTTTTGACATATCTGTCGCAGAAACCAAACAGAGAACCACATTTTTTAGCCACAGCTTCACTACAACAGAAACACAGCAATTTGATTCAAAAGCTCTGGAATCAAAGTTGTCACTGATTGGTCTTAATCGTTTAATTATCTATCAAGCTCAGTGGTGCGTGAATTTCACTCCCGTGAAAATAAAATTGGGCACAATAGGAGACAGACTGTCTTTAAACTTATGAAAACTAATTGAATTTTTATCTTGGTGGTTTAGAACTCTCAATCGATGATTTCACAAGATGTTGAAGGGTAAGTTTTATTTATTTCTTGGTACATTCCGGTTATCATAAAATTTAAAGATATTTGCACAATAGTGGTAGTAAATCAACTCTGCTATTTATAATTGGCAACTGATTCGAATGGCTGATTGTTAAAAAAACATATATATGCTACTAGTCAGATTCTAAACAACCCCGAGAAATGCAAATATTTAAGTTTATTTCCATAGATTTTGAGTACGCTGTGGTGTGTAGAACAGGAAATTGCGAAGTTGCAACTCTTAACTTTATGCTTAAAGGGAAGATTCCTTTAAGCATAAAGTTATTAAAAATTAAAAATGCGTCTCGGTGTTGCAACTTAGCTTCTTACTGTTCTAGACACCAAACCATGTACAGTCCTTTCTTTACTGTTTCCAGTATTTTATGTCAGCCGGATACAGAAAAAATATATTTTTAATTAGTATTTTATTCAGACAGCTTTTAAACCACAAACATCTTTGACAAGCCCTTTCACAGTGAGTTATAATACAGTCAGTATAAAGTTGCTCAGAAGAACTTCCACTTGTTTCCGTTCAAAATGCTATGTTTGATTTGTTGTCTCCCTCTATGGAATGCCAAGTAGCCCAGAGAACATCATTTGAGCCTTAGTTTAATGACTATTGTAGCTTGCCTGAAAAATGCGTTTCGCCATAGTTTTTAGTTGTCATTACTCTATTAACAGGGATCTTAAGTGGACCCTGCCATTGCATGAGACAGTATCATCTGACGACAATCGAATAAGGCGGAAAGTTGTTTTTGATGGAGAAGACGACGGTGATAACGACAAAGAGAACATGGATGAAAAAGATGAGAGTGACGAGGAGAACAGCGACGATGAGAACAGCGACGGTGATAGTGAGGGTGTGAGTGATGACGATAGTGATGGCGGCGAGGATGGCGGCGAGGATGGCGGCGAGGATGGCGGCGACGGAGTATATTTCGACGGCGATGAAGATCAGCCTGCTAGTAAAAAGAGTAAAAAGGTATCTTCGTTTTTATTGCAATGAATATAAAGTCAACTCTACGATAAAACGGGTTTTGTATTAATCTCAGTTGTTTGAAAAACGTTTGATGTACCCCGTTTTCAAAAAGCGCATCTGTAGATCTCATCCCGTGTAAACGCCTAGTATCCGGATACATTTGAATCCGACCTGGTCCAGTTCTCGTGTAAACAGGGTCTAAAAGAACCACCCGCGCCTTTTCCTTTAGAAGTACTCCCCTTTTGAGACGGCATCTGAATGGATTTCATCAAGTATTGTTAATCACTGTCGTAAGTCTATGTTCAACATGCGATAATTTTAGGCATAGAAGAATTTTATAAATTTCATCCTTTTCTGCTAGGAAACGTTTGATGAAGAGATTCAATTTGAAGATGACGAAGAAGACGACGAAGAGGTGGAAATCGATGATTCGAAATTTTCTATCGAAGGTTTGAATAAATAAAGCTTTTCTGTCTTGTAACTTTGTGATATGAAGCAATATATCATCAAGCAGCCATCTAATGTGAACCTACATTCCCGTACAGTGGCGGACACTTGGAAGGGGGCAAGGGGGGCGATTGCCCCCCAATACTTTAGAGGACAATGGTCTTCTGTTCTAAAACAATGGGAAATGCGACGTCATCTTATTAAAACTATAGGCTTGCCCCCCCCCAATATTTGACCAAGTGTCCGCCCCTGTTCCCGTCTTTATCGTAAATGGTTTTGTTAATATAATGCACCGAGTGTTTGCAATGTTATGCCAAAGAAGAATAAGAATTTTGATCGCTGACTTTCCTCATATAGATGAAATAAAAGAATGGAATAAATGATTGAAACAGTAACGTTTTTAGTGTTTAGAGTAGACAAATTAGAAGAAGGGATATGTAGGTAATTAGATAGCACTGAAAATAATATTTTGTTTTTTGTATTTGTTTCTGCCTAGCAGCGGAAAGTAGTTTTTGCGACAGTGCGTTGAAATAGAAGTGTCGTTGTGTATTGATGAAAAATGCAACCAGAATTGCATAGCGTGAACTAATTTTAAAACATTGTTGTAAGTCTATCTAAAGAGCACAAATTGCCATTTGATACAAGGGTAATACAGGGGTATTTCCCAGATGGTGAACAGATGGGCTCCAAAGCTAAGCTCGGGCGTTGGTTGAAAAATCGCTAAGCATTACTTCAACCCATCATCTGTTTTATTCGAAATATTCTCCAGACAAAATATTTTACATTAATTTATAGGCTTGAACTTTGCTTGATAATTGTTTATAACCAAAGTATAAAAAAGTCCGTCCTGCTTCTTATTTGAGTTTCAACCATTCCATTACAGATCTTGAAAAGTGGAAAGAAAACTTCAAGCGAAGGCTCCTGCCTCAGCTTATGCAAGGACAAAACAAAACAAGGGATTTGAAAGCGCTGATATACAACCAAGGTATGGCTTACTCCGCGCTGATTTTGATATCCGAATAGCTCACTGTTCTTGCATGGGTGAAGGTGATATATTTATTTTAAGATAACCATGAATTTACATCACTACAGAGCCTTTTCCAGTTTTTCCAGCATTTGCAAAAGTGTGGACTTTCATTTTAAGTGTTAACATGAAGAATGTAACTTATGCACTTTGTTGAGTGGTCGAGTAGAATCTTAATATACCATACATCCGTTGCAAAGTCTGATTACATCTATTTTTTGTACCATTGTAGATAGAAATATGTCTAAGCAAGGAAGGACTGACGAAGAAGAAGATTCTAATGAGATGGTTGGTGGATTGTTTTCCATTAAGACTCCGGGAAAGAATCTGAATAGCACGATACTGCACCAAAGAGATTGCACGCGTGAGCAATCTTGCGTGCAGTATTCGAATGAAGAGGATCTCCAGATGCTCTACGAGTCGATTAAGAACTGTTTTGTATCTAGGAATTCTTCAGGAGATCGAAAGATGGCGGATGATGAGCTGAACGAAGATGGTAAATATCAATCATTTCATTTGTTATGTAATACATTTGTTATTTGTGATTCTATTTGCGATTACATTTGCTATATGTGAGACTATTTGTGATCACTGTTGCTGTTAGTGAGTCTGTTTGTGATTACATTTGCTATAAATGAGACTATTTGGGATCACTGTTGTTAGTGAGGCTGTTTGCAATTACATTTGCTATTAGTGGGACTATTTGTGATTACTTTTGCTGTTATTGAGTCTCTTCGCGATTACATTCACTATATGTGAGACTATTTGCAATCATTGTTACTGTTAGTGAGTCTGTTTGTGATTACATTTGCTATAAGTGAGACTATTTGCGATCACTATTGTTGTTGGTAAGGCTGCTTGCGATTAAATTTGCTATTAGTGAGACTATTCACGATAACTGTTGTTGTTAGTGAGTCTGTTTGCAATTAACCTCATTGTAAATGAGTATATGAGCGAATACATTTGTTTTTACTGAGTTGTATAAGTATGTCCTTCATTTTATCAGCTCTTCAAGTGAAATGTCCTTTCAAATAGTAATAGAAAAGAAATGTTTCCAAAAGTTGCAGATGTTTTTAGAAGTAAATCAGGAAAATCAAGTCATCAATTTTCCATTCAATTACAGATATTTATTGGATTTTTCCTAGCTGTATATTTAAAATCATACGTGTGCTTTCTGGCATATTCTTTCAATTTTCATCGCCCAGAATATTGACCCTTTACTACTTATATTATGACACAAAACTTGATTCTTAGTACTGTTAGAAGGTGACAGAACTTCAACATTGCAAGAGCCTTATATCTACGATTCTAGATTTGTAGTTTATGTGTATTCATGAATTTTTCTTCAAATAGATAACAATACAAAGTGCTGGGGTTTTTTGTTTATTGTGACTGTTAATTGGTTAATCGTGATAATTATTATATGTAATTAACTGAGTTTTTTCTGGCTGTTTAAAGATGATGATGAACTGTTTGGCGACTTCGAAGACCTTGAGGCGGGTGATTCACTACCGAATGACGAGCTAAACCAAGATGATGCCGAATCGAGCTCTGGCTCGGATGCCGATGACAAAATGGATGACGTGAACGAGGACGAAAAACGGCGGGAAGAAAAAATGAATCTGAAAAAGAATTTTGATGCTGAATATCCTTTCATTGTTTACAAAGATGCCACCATGATCCTTTGCCAACACCCTGGTATCAATACCCATTCAATGGGCCAGCATTCTTGTCTCAATTGGTCCTTTTTACAGTGAAAGTCATGTGAATTTGAGTCCGGAAATAAACAATATAACTTTCCACTAGTGTCCTTGTTACGGATATTTTGAACCAGCAGATTATTGCTTATGGTACCTTGCTTTTGTTTCTTCTTACACAGAAGTCGCCATTTTGCTATTTTAGTAATTTACACGTAAATAGGTTCTTAGATTTCAGTGCCTCGTCTCGTGGTTTAAGTGTTATTAAACCTTGACTATGTCAAGTATGACAATGAAACGGACAAAGAAAAGGATGGCGACGCCTCTTACTACGAAGAGCTCAAGAGGGAGCTGAGTCAACAAGGACAGGTCAGTTCCGAACTTCAAAGATCTTCACAATGAAATGTCTAGGGCATTTTTAGTCACTTTCCATGCTAACGGTACCAACGAGACGTCTTGTCTTGGTTCATTAAGCCTACTTTAATAAGTCAGCTTTTGACGAGGGTTCTGTGACAATTTATGTAACAACTTTCTTACCTGCTTGCTATCTTTCTTTCCTGTCTGCACACCGAGAAATTCTTTGTTCAAATGCTATACTTTTATTCCACAACAGCTAAACGCACAAGAATTCCAAGACATGGACGACGATGTTCGTGTACAGTACGAAGGATTTCGTCCGGGGATGTACGTTCGTGTTGAGATCCATTCGATGCCAGCTGAATTTGTTCAGAATTTTGAACCCTCGTATCCGGTTGTCCTTGGTGGTCTCCTGGCTGGGGAAGATAACATCGGATTCATACAGGTATATATTGGAATTGCATTGATGCTGATGCTTCAATGGTTTTTTTAAACTGAAACTTCATATCTATAGGCTAACAGCATGAATTGATTTTTATTTGATAACGTCAAAGATTAGCTATACCTTTCATGCTCCCACTTGCATAGATTCTGAATATAAATTATTCGATGCGGAAGCCGTCCTTAAATTTTAATTAAAATAAAAAATTTCCTCCGAACGAATTTCACCGGCAAACTGGCTATCGTGCTGTCAGAGAATTTCGTTTATGTTATCTTTGGATGTGCTGTGTATTTAGAAAGTATTTTGAAGGAAGAAAGAGACTTGATGTTGATGTACACAAGTCCAGCAAATTGAACAGCTAAAAAATAAGAAGTGTTTATAGTTTATTGGCTCGTTAATTTTTCAGTGATTGAAAACTATTCAGGTCTGGAAAGAACGATCTTTATGCAATCTTAGTTAGTCTTGCCTTTAGGTAACAAATGGCTGTTCCTCATTATGATCATTGATTTGCAGTTATAATTTTCAACTATTTTGCTTTTTAGGCAAGATTTAAGAAGCATCGTTGGCATGATAAGATTCTCAAGAATCGAGACCCCATCATAGTGTCCCTCGGTTGGCGAAGATTTCAGACGTTGCCTCTTTATTCTGTGCAAGACCACAATGGGCGACAGAGAGCCCTCAAGTACACGCCGGAACATCTGCATTGTTTAGCTACTTTCTATGGTAAATTTCAATTTTCTTTTGTCCTGTTCTTGTCTTCTTTTAGTAATTTTATCCTTCTTTATCTCAGAGCCTGTTTTTCACCTAACAATATTTGCCTAGCAGTATCATTGTACCAATGTTGAGTCGATAATTTCTTCACCAGGGCCTGTTACACCTCCAAATACAGGGATATTGGCAGTCCAATCTGTGTCCGGATCAAAAGTAAGTTTAGATTTTCTCTTTTGTAAGCTCCATCTCTATACAACTTCTCAAAGAAGCCACTTGAAAAAATTTATGTTACCCACTTACGTACATCTCTGTCTATAAGATAACGAGCGCGAAGTTTAAGCAAATCAGTTTCTTCCAATGTCATCCATTTTCTTGCAGTCGAAATTTCGGATCAGTGGCACTGGGGTGATTGTTGACCAAGACAAGTCATCTCAGGTTGTGAAAAAGTTGAAGTTGGTTGGCACACCTCTAAAGGTTTTCAAAAACACGGCTTTCGTAAAGGTAGGGTTTTATACCATATTTTATACAATATTTTATACAATATTCCTCTAATTTGGTTTGCTGTTGTGCAATATTTTGGACCTCAAACAACTGTATTGAACATATCGTAGTGTAAAATAGAAAAAATTGATATTGGCTTTGAAAAAGCAAAAAATTTGAGGCGTACTGTTACTTAAGGATGACTCAAAATGTTTGCTTTTTTCAAAGCTATTTTTAAGTTTTGTTCCACCAAAATATTGTTAACTTATTGAAATGTAAACTAAGTCTCAAGGTTAATAAGGCACTTTCTCCGGAATATTTTCAATTTTTAAAGTACAATTTTTTGAGTATGTATTATTTTTGCGTCTAGTTTTAGTCAAGCCTTTTTACTGCTTTGTTTTCTTTCCCGCAGTATTTCGTATTATTAAAATTGTGTTGATCGTCTTGGCGCATAAGGAAGGTCGTGATAAACGTCAGACACTTTCCTATGTTAAATATGTTCCATGTTGAGTCTAGACATGTATATTCTTTGTTCTGTTTCTAACATTTTAAAGTGTAGTTTTTATTTCTATCGTTATTTTGGCAAAATCTGCGTTTGTGTTCAGCACGTAATCTAAATGCTATTTATTTAGCTAAAAATTTTGAGATCCCTTCCTTATTGTACCCATTACACTCATTCCAGGGAATGTTTAATTCGTCTCTTGAAGTTGCTAAATTCGAGGGAGCGGCGATCAGGACTGTCAGTGGAATAAGAGGCCAGATCAAAAAGGCTGTCAAGGTTTGCATTAAATTACTGATAAGCGTTTGTTTCCTTTCATCAAATTTCACAATGATGAATTTGTCTATCCTAACATGATCTTTAGTATCCTCTAGCCTAATATTGATTAGTTTTAAAATTTCACAAATCAATTTACTTTTAGAACGTGGACGGGGCCTTCCGTGCGACATTTGAGGACAAAATTTTGATGAGTGGTAAGTGGTATAATTTCTAATTTCCAAATAATCATATCCAAATTAAAAAAAGGCTAAAGTTATTTTGTGTTTGATTGTATAACTTCATATCAAGATTAAGAGCTCTAATAAATTCATTGGATTGAAAGACACAACTTCACTCAGACGTGGGACGGACATTTTGGATGGGTGAGGCTGATTCGATTATTTAAAAGTCACCACACAAAAATCTGGTTTTCAAAGTTTTCATCTTTAACTGAAAACATCAAGTTCACTTTATTTGCCAATTAACTTAATAATCGTTGTCGTGTTTATTTGTTGATGTTTTCTGTTGAATATGTGGCTTAGCACGAAATACAGGCATTTGTTTTTCTCAAGTATGTGATAAGTGGATTAAGCCTCTACGGAGGCTACCTACAATCACTGCCAAAATTACTTGGAACACCTAACACTTTGGGCTGTGCTTTTCTATTTTTCATTTGTTTTGTTGAATACTACCACTTCCGCCCCCCTTTCCCCCCAAAACAATGTTGAAGGTATAGAAAAATATCAAACAATCCACAAGAAAAAGCGTACTCCATAACCCCTCTCTTTTTTCTAAAGTAAATCAACATTGTTCCTAGGGGGAGAGGGGGATAGCTGAATTTGCCTTTGAAAACCTACGTTAGTGTTCCAAGACTTTTGGCAGTGATTGTAGCATGCATAAATTGGCATGATATTGTGAAGCTTTCTCAAAGTTTAGGTTTCTTTAGAATGGGTGCTTAAATGAGGGTTGGGGTTTGTTAGAAATTATAACTACCTGGGTGGGAGTTAGTATTATAGGGCTTATACAATGGGTGCACTCAGAAGGAGTGCATTGTCTATTTTTCCCAATAAGAGGTAATCCTTGTGTACAACGTACAGAAAAAGTAAACATTACCTTGTCTGTGGAATAATACAGGTTGCTGAAGGATGCTACAACTGGGCATATGCAAGGTTGTGAAGTTATTGTATTGTCTTGAAAAGTCTGTGTATATGCACGCCCTACAAGGAGTTTGTTAGCTGTTCATCTAAAACCTTTCTATAGCCACTTCTCCACTTGAGTCTTTATCGAAGCACTGTTTATGTGAAACTTTCAGTATAGCATGTTAAGGTATCTTTGTTCTGACTGCTGATTCGCCTTTTTTACTAGCAACTAGTCCTTAACATACTACTGCATTAAGTACTGCGCTTCAACATTTTGTATTCGCTGTTCTAGACATCGTGTTTTGTCGAACTTGGTACCCAGTTGCCTGCCCAAAATATTACAACCCTGTGACGTCATTATTGCTCAGCAAAGACGACAAGAAAAATTGGACTGGTATGCGCACTGTTGGCGAAATAAGACATGAAAGAGGGCTGAAAGTGGATCAGAATAAGGACTCGTTATACAAGGTAACAAATACATTTTTTAAGTTTTACGGGCTGAGGGGTTTAGTCTGAAAAAACTTAATAATTTTTTGCGATCAAATTCTCCTTCCAGTGTGTATTCTTGATCTGAAGATTATTTTTACCAATGCTGAAAAATTCTGTTTTAAATCAATGTATTTTCAATTACATTGTACACCGATGGTTTGAAAGGTGTTAACTGATCGCAAATTACATTTTAGCCAATTGAAAGGAAAACAAGGAGGTTCAACCCTCTGCATATTCCACAAAAGCTACAGAAGGACCTGCCTTTCAAGTCCAAACCAAAGTTAGCAAAGAAACAAAATGGTAAAAAGCAAGATAAACTGACAGCGGTAGTAATGGAACCCCATGAAAAGAAGGTGAGCATGGCAATACGTTGTATTACTAGTTTCATGGTATCTTTGCTCAAGGACCCTGCATTGATTTTGAAAATGGCAAAGGGGGTCTAAAGTTCAGAACAAAGTTATCAATTTTTAATAGTGTACCTTACTTAAATGGAGAGGTCGTGACCCTTTGTCTCTCTGGCCTCTTTTGGCACGGCCCAGTGCATAGCCTGCATAAGACTGCTTATAAAGCGGGGGTTTCGGAGCACATATAAAGAAGTAGGTGTGCCTTTTGTGTATGCTAATGGAAATGTTATGTGATGCAGTTTACCCTGTAAATTTTGGTTGCAATAAGAGTTGCAAATCATTTACGATTGTAAGCAGACACTCAGAAATCTGATATGTTTCGTTACCATCCCTCTAGGCCTACAATCTAATGAAAGAGCTGCTAACAATTCAGAAGGACAAGGCCAAGAAACAACGTGAGTCGCTTGACAAAAAGAGGAAAGAATTCAAAAAGAAACTTGTAAAGGACAATGCGAGAAGAGATGCAAAAATTAAAGAAAAGAAGAAAAAGATTTACAAAATTCTAGGGCAAGAGCAGAAAAGAAAAGAAAAACTTGCAGCCAAACGCCCCTGAATTACGTTTCATTGGCAGAAAAAATATGCAGCAAAAAAGGATAGAGGAATTTGCCAGCTGAAATGTTTTTTGTCTTGTCCTTGCTATTCTTGTGATAGATTATTTATCATCTGAAATGCGAGTTTAAGAAACGAAAGAACATCTCAATAAATGGCATAGTAAATTATACTGGTTTCATGTTTTCAGGTATCGTGTAATTCTTTTCGTTGCATTACAGTCTAAACATTTTCTGAGAAGTAAGTTTTTAGATGTCGAAGACCTTCGGTAGTTTGATACCTTTTTACATATAAAAATAAAGTTTTGTTTTTTTGTGGAAAAACTATTCAGAGTATTATTACTCTGATGAAGGACTATTGCTTTCAGATAAGGGTCCTGCAAGGCTAGACACAATCAAACCAAGTTGCGAAGTTCTTTGAATGCAATGCAGAGAGTGTCTATAAATTTTAAAATACATAATCGTTTTATTTACTACCTAAAATCTTAAATAATAAAGCTAATAAATCTACACATCAGAGCTACAGATTGGTTTTCTTGCAGCGTTTTCTTGCAGTGTTTTCTTGCAGTGTTTTCTTGCAGTGTTTTCTCGATGCTAAAATATTTAATTTATAGGTTTACTTATCTTTTGTGTGAAAGAGTCTTTTGCAGCTTTTTGTAATTTTTTATTGTTGTTGGGTTGTGTGGATCGATTTGCAGCGACCTCAAATAGAACTCTTCTGCATTTTTGAACCTTTGCCATCGATGATATAGAACAGCTGGAAATGGAATTGTGTATGGATGTTAAATAGACAAAGGTCCCGGTTTTGGTATTTCTACAAAGTCATTTCATCAAATCACAAGTCACCTTATTTTCCAGGTTTGGTGATAGAAAGCTTTTTGAATTCACGATAGAAACAGGGATCTTGTTTTTCAGTCAAAATATATTTTGCTTTGTTTAAGATGCAGCTTAAGTAGATAGATATATTAAACTGAATTACGTTAAATTTTGATTACTGCCACCTTTTATTGATGTTTCAAGATCGATGATCGATTTTTGGATAGCAAAAATGATAAATTAAAGAGTTTTTATGAAATTACCAGTGGTTCAGTAATTTTTCGAATATTTCAGTTCTAAGTCGTGGGTGTGGCGTTAACTGGCTTGCCTTATGCCAACACCTATGAAAGTGTTTGCATTCTACAAAGTAACCTATGATTTTATATTTTTATTATTTCTATAAATTTTCCCAAAATGCTTAAACGGTTTTTAGAGGAAAAGTGAAATAGAAAAAGCATCGGGAAAAGAAATTAAAAAATAAAGACTAAAAGATGATAAGGGCAAAGTAGCTGGAGGAATTGACTTGAAAGAAAAATACCTAAGTTGCCAAAATATGCAGCTTGATTAGGATCCAACTCGATGGCTTGGAGGTAAAGCTTCTCTGCATCCTGAAACAACAAGGAAATTGCCAAGTACCTTCTTAAGAAAGTAAGTATTCAATATAGACTGTTTTAAGAGACCAGTTTTGGATTCGGCCAGGCATGGCAGCGCTCAGCAGTAGCTTTAGACCGATGTACGACCGATGCGTCTTTCTTTTCCTTTGTACAAAGCTAAAGGCAACAGAATGCTGTTTTGAAGGTAAACTAAACCGACATACCTCGAATTTCTCAGCTTTTCCATACACGTTGGCCAGTGTGTACATCAGGCCAGGGCTACGTGGCATTAATGCGAGGACTTTTTTGCCCAGTTGTAAGGATATGTTGGATTGGCCTAATGGGTAGAAGATAACCGGTGAAAGATTGGCAGAAAAGATGTTGCGTGAAAAAAAAGGAACAAGTTTAGCAAGAATCAAAGAATCCGATCATGACTCTAACTAACTCTTAACGAGAATTTTATATAAGAACAATGAAAGAGCATGCTCAGCCCCAGAAGAAAAAGTAGGCTGCTTTTCAAATTTTCTAACGTGTTATTATAAAAGGGCACATTTTTTGTGGTCTTAGAACCATTAAAAGCATGTAGTTGCAGAACATTCGAAATCAAGGCTGAATTGGGGACGGTATTAAGAACACCTGAGCCTCAAGTTGTCCAAAAAAGAAAGAATATTAATCTTATCTGGTTCTTAAAAAAGAGAGTAGCAGACCTACCTAGCTCATCGTATAAAAGAATCAGGTTTATCCAAGAACTGGCGTGATCTGGTTTCATTTCAATAACCTTCCTATAAGCAGCCACTGCTTTCTTGAAATTCTTGATTTCCAGGTACTGTTAAAACAGTTAAACACTATCATGAGGTGAAGTGAACACAAGGGAATCATGCTGAAAAAGTATAGTTAAGCTTCTGTAGCAGTCACAGCAGAGATTAGACATATAGTCAATAGGAACGAGATTTTTGTTGTTTGCAGTTGACATCTGTTAGGCCATAAGTGAAGAAGTTTTTGAAAAAGTATATGCCCATTGCTTAGGATTGTGCATTATTGCGAAGTTGCATCAAAATGATGGCAATGGAAAACATATCCAGTGCAGTTCTAAGTAATCAAAGTTAAGATAACGAGTACCTGTCAATAAACAAAAAACCTGGCTATGTTCATGACCAAGATCTTTCATCATTGACTTATAAAGTTTTATCCCAAGCTTAACATGCTCTAGGGTTATAAAAATACTCTATAGAATTCCTTGTCTTAAAGTTTTAATCTCCAGCTTAAAATGCTCTAGAGTTATAAATATTGAAATAATACACTTAGAATCCTTGCAAAACCTGCTTGCAAATCGGCTGATATTTAGACAATGATATCAGCCTCTGCTAATTATAGTCATATCCACTCTCAATCTAAAATGATTTCAATACAGGAACATTATACAAACCAAATTTCCAAGGTTATAATGGGCATCTGGATAATATTTTCTTAAACTAATTGCATTCGCATAGCACTCTTCAGCTTCCTAAAATGCCAAATATACGAGTGTACCATTCAGTCAAACAACTGTACAATTAGCACTGTACTATTGTCCTTACGTCACAATACGCTTTCAAGAAACAAACAGCATAATAATTTCAATCAATATGGTATTTTATATCCCTATACCATTAATTTTCTCTAAGTTCCTTTTTCACAGTACGAATATAAAATAACCACACGGATATTATTGGTGACATTAACTTTTCGAGAAAGTAAGTTTATCAGAACCTATACACTGTTAATTTTTTATTCGAAAATTCTCGAGGAATGTTGCACCAAAACAAATTTTGGCCTAGAGGAAGTTCAAACAACTTTTGAAAAGGGAGAGGGTTATTCATCGCATTTTAGTTCTTGTAAAAAAACGGCATTGCTTCCAGCCCCACCCTTAGCTATATATAATTATCATGCTCAGGTTGTCCTGTAGTTATGATCAAGAAAATGATGAAAAACTGAAGTTAATCTTTATTTTTAAGAAATACATTATAGAAAAAAGCCGGGTAAAAATATCTTAATAAAAATCAATGTTTTGATTCACTTTGCTTACCTTATATTTTTTCAAATGAGCTTTTGTCACTCCTAGGTTCATCCAACCAGCCGCAAAAGAACGGCTTTAAGAGATGAAAGAGGAAAGCACATTAAACATCGACCATTATCATAGCAAAACAGTTGTAGCGACAAAAAGGTGTTTAAAATACCAAGTGTTAAGACTACATTATATAGAAACCTTAATTGAACTAGTAGATTCCTAGTGTTAGCCGTAAATTCACTGCAGCGCAAAAATTGTCTGCATGGTATGATAGAACATTTCGTCTGTTTAAACGTTTTTTGAACAATGATGTTGCAAAAACATTGTGAGTCAAAGAGTAAATCTAGAACTCAAAACGATGGAACTACGATATTTTATGAAGAGAGTCACTAACGCAATTACCTGATGTTGACAGCTTTCGATAAGAGTTTTTCAGCTTCCAAGGGGTGTCCCAATTCCTAGTGTTAACAAAAGGACTAGATAATGATAGATGATGCAGCTGAATTATCAATAACTAAACAAGAGGGTAATTAATGAAAAGAAGGTGAACGAAAAACGACATACCTGCAACAGATTGCCAAGGTTATTCAGTGGCTGATCATAAAGCGGATTTAGCCTAAAAAATATTTACTTCAATGAAGAACTATATTTCTTTGAAGAAAAGTATACTTTGTGCACACTTTGTGACTTTTCTCAAAACCTGCTGTACCAAAACACACGAACCAACCACATTATAATTTGATTGGCCATTGTTTACTGACAATATCTGATAAACGATGATATAGTTCTATTGATTATTAATTGTTAATATAACAATCAAACTATTATATCTCCATTCTGGTACTAAATTTATTTGCTAACTATATTATCGTTATTCTGGATGTAGTACCACACGCAACGTACATATTTAAAATCTGATAAACTGTATATACACTAATGACAGAGAGCAGAAGATCGTCCCATGTCCAAAGACAATGATTTTCCACTCTCGCGGCATATTTTTCTTCTAACATACAATCCGCGCCTAAATGGTTGCAACGCCCTAATTTGAAGGTTTTGAATTATATGGGCAAAGTAAGTCTTAACCTATCTTCTCAATGCATCACTGTTTTTGCCAAACTTTTGCCCAAGCTTTGGCAAACTTAAAAACTATTTCAAACGTAAACAATTATTAAAAATTAAGAAGAGACAAACCTTATGGACTCTCTATAGTATTTGATTGCACTTTCAGTTTCACCTTTCTTCGAAAGTACATGCCCGATATTATAATGAACCTTAAAATAGGACACAAAGATTACCAAAGTACAAAAGAATACATTCAATAATTATTTTGTTTTGTGAAGGAATATTGTGAACATCTAGTTAGACATTAACATTGAATAAATAAAAATAGAAAATATTTTATTCCATAACAGGAGACTGAAAATTTGGTATCAAAATGCGCGTGAGAGGTCTAGATTAATCTAACAACAGCCACGAACAAAATAATATGCCAATGTATGCTTACTTTTGCATTCAGTGGACAAACATTTTCTGCCGAACGAAAGAGTTTTTCTTCTGATAACCAATCTTGACTTCGCTAAAAAACAATATTAGGTTCTCGTTCTTGACAACGGCAAACATTCAAAAGAATTAATATTCAAAACGCATTCTAAGATTTGATCATACAGAACTAATATTTCGTGATGCACTTGTGTTGCTGAATAATAAAGTAGAATAATTTTGATCGACGATATGATAATGATTTGCATCTCAAAGATTTTTTTTTCAGTTTTAAGGAGCTTAAATGCATTACAGATAACATCCACCATATTTTAAGAAACAATGTAATTTCATACAGTTTCTTACAATTAGCAAACTTGAGCACAAACCTGCAAGCACCTCAATGTTGATACAGCTACTAGCAGACAAATGCAGACTCTGATCACCTACGAAAATAAAAAAACAGATTTGTGCTTTTCTGCTTGATGATAAATTTTCTGCCCATTTTCGGTCATTATCCGACGTTTACACTCTGAAGAATGTCATACAAAAGTGCTTCAGTAGCAAAGGCGTCAAATCTTGATTGGGGACTCCCGCGTTGGCGATTCCTTTCGCAGCCAATCAATGCTTGACGCCTATGCTTGCTTCAGTAGGCAATGCTTTTGCTATTTCGTGTCATCTTCAAACTCAATCGTATGAGATGAGTTTAATATTGGCATTGTAAGATTTTCATTGTACACGAACAGAAAATCAGTTAAGCTTGTAGCTGGGAACCAAAAGGGTGCCTGAAATCTAGCCGATACCTGCGATGGAACAGTGACAACTTCCTGTACAGTTTTACACAGCAGGATCAAATCGTGTGAATGAAAATAATTTCGACAACAACCAAATGCATTATTGTTATTTTGAAAGAAAAGTTTTGATCCGTTAATTAAATATTATACCAGGCACCGCGGAGAAGGGGGTGTGGGGCTATACCCCCAAATTTTGCCAAAAATGCAAAAAATTTGCCAGTGAATCCCCAGTCAAGCCACCTCTTTTGGTTTTAGCCCCCCACCCTTTTTAGACCCCCCACTTTTCTCAACGCTCCGCGGTGCCTGTATACGCATTCTCTATAAGAAAGTATTTCATAAGTAAGTTAGTATTTGGATTGTCAACAACTAAAGAAGTTTCTAGCACTGGATGGTAGACTGTAAAAAATGTGAAAAATTTAATCTTGAACACGATTTGTTTCATTTCAGGCACCATTATTAGCAAAGGAAAAAACACGGCAAACAGTAGTAACATGTAATTGATGAACTGTAGTAAAGGCGAATACCTCAGAAACTACTTTGTGATATCTGACGTTTATTTCATATTTGGATTAAAAAGATGAAGTTTCGTTAAGATGATATTTTTATGAAAACACAGTGCCAACAATACTGATCGTCAGATTTTATCTTCACCTATCTTCCGACAACTTATGAACCTATATCTAATTGTACCTAGAGTTACTTCAAAGAATCATAAAGAACAAAGCTAAGAAAATGCCAAGAAATTTTGTATTCTCAAACTTGGCCGTCAGTTAAGGAATTGTTAGCACTGAGCTTTGGCCGGACCTCTTTATAAAAACGCGAATAAAGCAAACGTCCTTGTTTTTTCAAAAACCTTTCAACCCAGTTCACACCAAACACATACACAATTTTAAACCCACCTTGTGAAAGTTCCCGTATTCCGAGATGACAACAATGCCCAAAGCAACGAGTCCACAAAACCCAAAACTAGATATGTAAAGATTCCGCTCTGCAATCACAAAACCAACTGTGAAGAAGATATTCGTAGAAGGTAAAAATGGGACGATCGAGAAAGCCATCAGCATAAGCAGTGTTCTAAGGAAAAAGAAAATTAAAGAAGTTTTTTAGATTTATATGTCCCTTTTCAGAAAACTTTTTGTCTATCATTTAATTTGAAACGAATGGTAAAGGGAAAATCGATCTTAGCAAGCAAATGAGATCTATAGCATAGATTCAAAGTTTGAGAAATTTCTAATCAACAGGGCTTCACAAACAGTGTGTAAGAAGGAAGAACCGCAGGATAGGCTGTCCGCCGGATTCTGTGAATCTTGCAATGAGTGTTGTTATGAAAGATATTCAGGAACAAAGCAATATGACGACGAGAATGCAATGTAACGAGATGAAATTTTCAAAATAAATTTAATTTGATTTAATTTAAATTTAATTTATTTTGAAAATTTTATCTCGTTACATTGGATACTTGTCGTCGTATTGCTTTGTTCATGAATATCCTTCACAAACAGCACATCACAAAAAAGCTACTTGCGTTAGGCCTCATTTCACCAAAGTTGTAGAGATGCATATCTGGAATCCTTTTTAAGGAAGATCCTTGTATTTAAAGAAGATCCTTGCTCGCGCTCAAAGATTTTTCGAGAGGGTAAAATCATCATATAGGAAGACAAAAAGTACAAACAAATCAAAGACTTCTTCATTTTGAAACGTCCCCTGTTAACTGGATGGCTACAACATCCTAATAACAGTACGTAAACAAGAATAATATCCTTAAATAGTAATTGCATTCAGGGAATTAATTAGAAGCCAGTAGCTGTCGAAAGTCCGCCGCTTACTCACCAAACATGCGCCGCCTACCTTAACTCTCACTTTAGTAAGACTATACAAACTTTAGTTAACTTATAGACGCCTAATTTTAAAAGTGAGCCTTCTACTTAAAAAGATTATGAAAACCCAGTGCATTTAAAATGACCGGGAGTCATATATGAAGAAGCATTGTTAAAAAAGTTGCGTTACCTTGCAACATGGCAATCGATTAACATCCAACACTTCCACAAAACTGCAAGAATGATTAACCACAAAAGTATTGGCGCCAGGATCCTGTGGTCGGTTGAAGATGTGATAGGGGGAACACAGCCCATTGCCCAGTCAAAACATAGCCAAAATGGGTTTAACAGCAACCACACATTTAGACAATATATGTAGTTGTAATTGATGACCTACAAGAAAGAAGACCAGTCAAAACGTATACCTACACCAAGTAAAGAGTGGCGCAGGTAGGATAATTCATAGGAGGGGCGAGAAATTTGGATTTTCCGATAGAAATCTAATAGCAAAACTAAATTAGAAATGAAAAGAAAATTGAAGATAAACTCTGGTCATTTATTCCAAGTAAAGTGTCATAAATCATGCTACTTGAATATTTTTTCTCTTATAAAAAAATATTCTCTTATCTTCTCTTGTCTTCTCTTATAAAAAAATATTCTCTTATCTTCTCTTGTCTTCTCTTATAAAAAAATATTCTCTTATCTTCTCTTGTCTTCTCAAATAAAAAAAAGATGGAGTACCATGCCTAATCGAAAAAGATTGCCAATCCTATTCAGAACCGCATAAGAAATCGTTAGTTTAAGCTTTAAATTATTTTCTCTCAAGATGTAACACTTAGACAAAAAGTAGATAAGATCAGAGATGTTATATTTCTGATAAGATCAGAGGTTTTCCGACAAAATAGTAACCTAACTGTACAGGGCTTTTTTTGCCACTGCAAGAAAGGAAAAATTCAAAGGAGATATCTTCTTCTAAACTTCTTTAAAACGTTTCTAAAGAACTTCGACTACTGACTAAGATATTAAAAGTAAGATTCATGAGAAGCAGGGTATCTTCAAGAAACAATAACTGAACTGAAGTGTATTCCGGAAATGAGGAACAACTCCTTACCCTTGCAAGCACGTTGCTTTGGAAAGCTGAAGGATTGTCACCATGCTGAAACTTTGGAGGGTTCGCTCCCATTACCCGAAATCTCCATGTCATGAAAATTAACACTGTGATGATGATTACTGATACCCGCTTTGCGAATGTTTTCAGCCACAACTGCAAAATTAAGTTGCTCTCGTTGCGTGAAAGGGCTTTTGAAAAAAATTTTAAAAACTAAAACGGGTATGTAACATTATAAGTGATCAGGGTCATAAATAGGGTCACTCTAAAGGCGCTCTCTGCCTGTAAACTGCATTACAATAAATGTTTTGCTTAGCATAATCATAAAGACATGCTACATAATCAAAAAGAAAAGACTAGCAGGCTTCCCGTGTTATTAAAGGAAAGTTACAGATTCACAACTAAGAAATTATTTACAGCTTGGCTCAGAGATGGAAAGGATAAGGCTCTTTGATAAAAGAAACATACACGATAAACTAAGTCCACATCATGTTTCAACAGTTGCCCGATAATCGCATTAGAAGACCAGACCAGACCTGAAACTCAGAGTAGCAACTTAGAACCATCCTGTTCTATACACCAAACATTGCCATTCACATTATAGATAAATCAAAGCGTTTGTTACTTTCCAACTGTTTCTTTATTGTAAAGCATAAGTTACACAATTCTTTCATATCAGATCAAACTACTTTACTTACATGGTCTTCCTCAGCAACATTTCCAGTTTTTGTAATCTGCACTAAAGATTTTCTTTTTGTTGCAGTAACTTGCAAAATGTCAAAAACTAAGCATAGTCCCTGAAAAGAAATTAAAAATAAAAAATTTAAGGACTAGGAAAATACCAACTATTTGTATTTTGAATTTTTTGCATTCGTATTTTTATTTGTTGCTACCTAGCATCCAAAGGTAGTTTTTAGGACACTGAGAAGCTATGCTTATCGAGCAGTGTCCTGGTCCTTCCTCTTGAGGTGACCACACCTCTTTATTCCTATGCCTAGAATTACAGAGAGCTGGCGACTCTCCTCACTCTGGGTGAGGGTTTGGTCATGTCAGGGACTCAAACCACGGACCCTTGGGTCTGTAGTCAGCACCTCTAACAACTGAGTCATCCTCGCGCATTTGAGCCATCCTCTAACAACTGAGCCGCCAACCTACTACAACAAGCTAGAATAAAGTCCTATTTCCTGATACCTCCTAGCTGCAATCAGCAACTACACCTATCAGACGTTATAGACTTGTAGGTACAAACAATTCGGCAAAACACCATACTGTTGTTGGGTGGATACATTTTTCTAGATTTATCATAAAACACTGTGATTTCACATGCAAAGCAAACAGATATTAATATATAATCAAGATATTGTTTCCACAGGAGCAATAGGCAGTGAACTGTTGTGGGTAGATTTGAACTAAATAAATACTTTTCTGTATTTCATTTATTGACGGCACTGCAGGTGCATGGAAACATATTTTTATGTGGCAAAGGCAATCTCACACAAAAAATCATCACAGACTTCATACAAGAAGGCTCTGAAAGCCACAAGTTATAGCTGTATAAAAACCCTATGGTTTTTCATAAGATTTTCTTAATTTCAAAGACATTGGACAGCAGTTTAATGTGATGTAAAGGTTGGTTGCTCAAAATACACTTACTAAGACAGTTATGCCTTGCTCTTTAGAGAATAGAGAAAGAGCTGCAAAGATAACACATGCACAAAGTGACCCTGGGCACAACTTTTCAGGTAGAGCAGATGCTGTTTGTCTTGAGGCTGCAAAAAACAATTATTAATTATGACATTTGATTAAATAACAAAAAGACAAGGGGTGAAATGATTCTAACTAGAGAATCAGATAAAAACAGCAATAGTTGATAATAAAAGAGGCTGATGTTAACAAAACTCTGTGAGAAAAAATAAATTTTAACCAAAGGTAAGTATTAGTTCATCTGAAGTCTTATGCTTCAGATTCTCTGCTGCTTATCCAGCTAATTGCAACCAGTTTAATCAAGATTAATTGACATTAATGAAGAAGCAGTCAAAATATCAAGTTCACATGTAGCAAGAGAGGCATACAAATCTCTGAGTGAAAACATAGGAGTTTGTCAAGTCTTCCTAACATGCCAAAGATAGGCATGGATAAGAAATATTATCTTAAGAAAAACAATCACCACCTGTGGAAAATGTCCTTGTGAAGCAAAGAAATGACAGGAAAAAGAAGAATGTGCAAAGAAGATCAGCTCTCCCAACAATTCCAGCCACCTACAATAGAGCATGTATGAAAATTATCAATATATCTTAAAATATTTTCCTAGCATGCTTCACATTCAAAACAAGTCACTTTTATGTGGAAATACACATTAAATTACTAGCAAATGGATTCACAAGTAAACATGGCTTTAGGCAGGGACCATAAAAGTGAGGGGCCATGGGAGCTTTAGCCCCCCAATAATTTCAAAAATGTACAACCATAAAACCATGTTAAAACCATAAAAATGGCTCTTCTTATGGTTTTTAGCATATTTTCAGACCCCCCAAAATATTTTAGCTCCCTCAATCAGTAATATGCCCCCACAGTCCTTGGCTGTAGGTAGTCTTGTTTTGGGGGTACATGCTTTTGGACTTTGCAGTTTTAGTGGACTTTGAAGAAGCACCAAACGTTTCTCCAATTTATTGGATTACCAAATCCTTGCAAGGACAAATGCTATCAACCATCAAACATCATTAGTATTCAGCAGGTAAAGAGACTATTGAAAATCTGTTAAGATGTCAATCAACTGATTTTGGCCAACAGAAAATTTGACTTTTTTCACCAGTGCATAGCTGAATTTCTGCTTACCTTCCTAAATGTTCTTTGATTTTTTTCAAAAGCTCTTTAGGGTTGTAAAATCAATTTTTCTCTGGACCAATTAAGGAGTTCGTAATATTTCGAAAATGCTAAAATTCAGAGTTTGGCAGCAACAACCAATATATGGTGTGGTGGAGGGGGCAGGGAGGGCTTTGCCACCCAAATAATTTCAATTGAATTGTTATTGTTGCACCCCTTTATTAAGGCTGCACCCCCCTCTAAAATAAAAGTTGTATCTGCAGTTCTGAAAGGGAGGGTTTTGCCACCCAAATAATTTCAATTGAATTGTTATTGTTGCACCCCTTTATTAAGGCTGCACCCCCCTCTAAAATAAAAGTTGTATCTTCTATTGCAGTTTTTAACAAGACTTTAAATGCACTTAATCATTACTGTCTTCCTTTACATGTGAAATGCTCTTTTATGAATCATATGGCATATAAATTGATGCATTCCAAACTTGAGCAAAATTTAGTAAATAGGCAATTTCAGCATGAACAACAATGTAGTGTACATTTCAAATGCAGCATTACATTGACCTAATCTATAAATATGCTTTTAGCTTTGCTTTGCTACTGAGAGAGTTCCTCCTTTAAAATAATTTCCCATATATATATATCCCACAGATAATTTGTGTTCAATATCTTATTGTTATAATGATGTTTGATAATAATTGATGTTGCTGTATGTTTAATTAGTACTTTGTGGAAATGTATGTTGTGGAATTTAAAATATAATTTGATTTGATTTGATTTAATTCAAATTCTACTACGTTACTATTAGCTAGTTAGTTATATAAATTATAAAAAAAATCAACTAAATAACGCAACAACAACAAACTTTCAACAAAAGAATTCTTAAGGAGGAGCCTTCAAACCTGAATAATGAATAAATAATGAGCCTGAACCTGAAACTATGCCATACTCTGCAGACTGGGCAAAATCCAAAGAAGTTTAAAATACCCTTTAAGCTTTACAAGCGTAAATTTGTTAGCAAAAAAACCTAGCATTTACTAGACTTGACAAGATGTTAAGAAAGTGAGTTCAATCACAAATTATCATGTTTTCCTAATTGACAAGTTGTGGCAGAGTAGGAAACTTTAACAAGATTAAATTTTCTGGCTTGAGTATTTGTTGTTATTTGATTTCCAAATGGGAGATGGCATATTTTATAAACATGCTTAACAACTGTACATGGCAATCTGCATAGAAGTGAATGCAAAAATTAAGTCGATGAAATTCTTGGAAGTTGTCACATTTGTGGAGAAATTGTTAGTGCACCTCATAGTTTGTCAAAAATACCTAAATACCGATACATGACTCACATTTTCTGTGTGAATGGGATGTACTGTAAAAATCAGTGCTGCAAGGAAGCTCGACTCTGGCGAAGTGAAAAGCTTAAAGCCTTCTCTTGAAACTGATATACCACCAAATATAACTGAAAAAACTCTAAGGGCCAATACACAGTTTATTGCATGTAGTGTGATGTTCACAATGTGAAAACCCAATGGATTGTATCCACCAGCCGCCCAGTAGCTAATTCTGAATGTCCAGACAGTGATAGGCCGGTAACTTTTATGACTCGAAGACGAAGTAATATTGTCGCCCCAGAAATCATGTTTGAATATGGAGAAAAATGATGTCTCTAGTCGTACATCACGATTGTTCAAAATAGCTTCATTATCATCAAAAACAAAGTCTCCATTTACACTCCACAGAAAGCAGAATACTGCAAAACTTGCAACAACAGCTGATGCAGTAGTTTGTGTCAGGTCAGGTACAGGAATGTTCTTGCACTTCAACACAGTAACGTTTGAAGAGTATTTAAATTCAGAACCAACATCTTGAGTTGAGCTGCTTTTCTTTTTTACTCTCTGCATTATGTAGAACGTCTTTTCTCAACTAGATTGTGATACATATAGTACCTGCAGACGACATGCCTTAGCTCTCAGACATATTTACACCTGGCTTCATCTTTCTGTTTCTTGGCCTGTAAACAACATAGACGAGCCACCTTAACAGATTGAAAATTTGCGGCACATGCGCAACAATCTAATGCGCATAATCTTGAAATCCCCAATACTTCATTGGAAATCCCTGATAAAAGAGGGCGGGATCGAAATAGACAGGGTGAGTTTAAAAAATTATGCAGAAAAACATGGGGGATTGGGCTGAAAAAGTGGGGGTTGTAATTAGTGGGGACTGGCATAATCTTCGAGGGTAGAATACTGGAAAGCAAGGATAACAGGGTTATTATGTGTGAAAAAACCAGAAAGAACAAGTGGATCTAGGGCGCAAGAAATTCTCTTTTCCATTCAAGCCAACTTTGCTTTTCCTCAGTCATATTCTTAAACGCTTTATTTGAGGAAGAACTGAACACTAATCTTGTACCTGCCTATGCTTTCTGGGAAACAAATAAAAGGTGGGGTAACTTCTATCTATCTATCTATTGCTTACTGTACATTAACCTTTAAATAGGTATTGCGTACAATGGGAATGTTCTTGGTGGAAATTTTTCTGCAAAAAATCAGCATCCCAGAATTATTTTTAGAGATTTCAGAGCATAATGACAATTGGAACTTTTTCAGTTTCCCAGCTATAGGTTCTCCTCGTGCAAATTCTTGCGAAAAAAATGTACAGCTCAATTTCCTTACATTTTTAATGAGAAGTACAAAATAAAATCCACTGTTTTGAATGAATTTAAATTTTTATATTCTACTGACTTTAAATATTCTAAACTCTTTCTGAGTCGCGTTAATATATTAATTCGGCCCCGACTTTGATCAGTTGCTTGAAAATCGTTAGGGAGTTTCTGCATACTATCGAAATGCCATGAGAAGTGAGACCTGGAAGAAAAAAGACCACGTTAATATAAGCCTTGACAGTAGATAAAAAATTCGTAAATACAGTGTGTAAATCTTGACAAGATTCTTGGATAAAAATACTTCATGCAATTCGTGGATAATCTTTATGAAATAATAAGAGAAGCCTGCAAGCTTGGATTAGATTCCGCAAATGAAACTGGTTTTTTGTTGGGAATTAAGATTGGGAAAGAAAACAAAGAGCATAGCATATTTTTAATTCTGACAAACCTGTTCTTGCGATGGACATCCGATGATTTGTTGGTCTTCCAAGCTGTAATTTTCTTGCACAAGTTGAGACAGCTGTTTGTACACTTTCAGGACTTTTGTCTGAAATGAAGAAAAAAAAGAGATAGAAGCAAGTTGGTTAATATAGCACTGTACTGATATATACAACGTTGAACTATGGAAAGTATAGCATAGGGAAGATCTGGGAAAGAAAGGACAAAATAAGCATCCGAAAGAGTTAATAATCACCATTTGGTGTTTTAAGGAAGGATAGTTCATACAAACAGGAGAGGGCCACGATATCAGTCATTTTCTTTTGTTTATAGATAAATACGCAAAGTCATCTAAAAAAATTAGCGTTTTCCGGACAACTTACCTTAATGGGCTTGAATAAGATATACTCTGTTTCTTTGCTTGCCAAGTACAATGACATACTCTCCATCACCCCCGGCAGTTTCGACTTTAGCATCATGTAAGCCTCGCTGACCACTTTCCGCACGCTCTCTAGCGAAAGAAAAATCTAGTTTAAAGTTGACCGAGTTGGATATGAGCAATGACAATCTCTATGATGGTGACACAAACTACAAAAGTGCCATTCGACATGCGTAATTCCTGTTTGTTGGGAGCTGAAGTTGTTTTGGAAAAGATTGTGGTCATGAGTCCATCCGATTATTTTAGGAGCCAATGCTGCAAAAACTCTTCAAGCTACAACTTTCTTTCTTTGCAATTAGGCAGCAAATACCGCATTTCTGCATTGCAAGTAGGCAGTAAATAACGCATTGCTATTCAAGGTCGTGTGTCCGTACAAGTAGTGTGATTTAAGGGGGCGTGGTTCGGTCTAAACCAATCACCATACAAGTAGCTTGAAATCCTGGCCCGATTCGCTCCTCCATGCTATAAAATGCTGCAAATTTGGCCCCCAGCTTGAAAATGTAATCCCTCCCTAACTTAGACCAACAGATAAATTAAAAGGAACGTAAGGGAAATTTTGAACGCAATTGGCGCGAAAACGACCCTACGTGAAAAGCGGCTTGCCTCGTCTTGGATCTCTGGTTTACTGATTGTTGAGAGTCTGATTGCTGAGAACGTTTTAACACCCCCACTCAACATCAATAAAAGGTCACTGAACATCACCACACAAATGTTGAATGATGTTCAGTGAAATGTTGAGAGCGTTTTAACGGGGCTTAATATGTTATTTGATAACCCATGTTTTTTAAGGTGTTTATTGTTACACTAAGCTCAGTTATTTGCCTTTCCTTGAAATCCGATAACATATTATCGTCCTCTTTTATGTATGATGATCCAAGATGATCCACGATGAAGATTTCTTCTGATTATTAATGATGATTCATAATAATTTATGATGATTTATGATGAAGGTTTAGTTCTGATTATTTATGATGATTTATGACGCTACCTGAAATTGACTATTATCACTACATACTAAGCAGCGATAACAAGAAAGCTAACCTGGTTTTGCAAATGGCTGCTGGTTAATAATTTGGTGCTTGTCCTTGCCTTCCTCTTCAGCCAGCTGTGTCAGTGTGTCCATTTTATCGAGCAGCGAGGTCAGGGGACTGACGAAATTATCAACAGCCGTGCCAATGAATTGTTCACACACATTTTTCAGTTCTGCATCCACTTCCTGCGAAATCAGTAGATTTAAAACAATATTGTGCGACATTTGCCATCACATGAAGGACAGAATTCTGTTGTGAAGATAAAATGAACAATTTCTTTGTATACAAAAGATTTTGGGAGAGATGATTAAAGCGACTTGTCTTTAATTCATCAAGGGAATATTTAAAAAGGTCTAAAACATCTAAAACTATATTGTTCTTTATGCGAATTGGGCCTACGGTTCCGTTTATAAGAGTATTACAACCCTACAACAGAAGGAACACGAAGAACAAACCATGATGAGGCACAGATGGGCAACTTTGTTTCAAGAAAGAGAAAATTAATTTTCCAAAATTTGTCTCACCTTTTTTGAGTCCAAACAGTATTCAGTTAACTGCGGAACGCCCTGGAAAATTAATCAAATAATAATGTTTTGAAAAGAGTAAAAATATGACTTTAGATAACTACTTGTCTTTGTGGTGGATAGTTTTCTAAACTTTTTTATCGTACAGTGCTACCAACTGTTTTACTCGGGTCATTTTGTGAAATAACCGATTACTCAAAGATATATTTATCTAACAAATTACCTCAAGAAGAAACTCCAGAATGGCGTTATTTGTACTCAAGCTAAGCAATCTGGTTCCTTTTGATAACAAACCAAAAGCAGCTGTTCTCATCTTTGAAAAATCCAATGCAACCTCTTTGACTGCGAAGTCGACATCAAATGGGGCAATCTGCTCTCTCAAAATCAGTAAATGTTTAATGAAGAACAAAGAACCGTTTATTGCACCCTGAGAAAAAGAAGATTTCGTTACGTTACGTAGATCTCGTTACGTTACGTTCAATACAACTACGGTGTCTCGCACAGAAAGACTTCACTAAAACACGGCGGTGTGAAAATTTATATTCAGCTGGAAAACGAATTTACAAAAACGAAAGCTAATAGCCACAACGATTATCTCGTCACTCAAATACGTACAAAACTAATTATAGTGACTTTGCAGTGGTTGGCAGTGTAACCACCATTTTTTACGGTCACTCGTGTAAAGCTACTTCATCAGACCGTACAGTCTCGCCAAGTTTTTCAGCAATTACGGAGGGGAGACATTAGAATGTTTGCGCCAACACAAACCTTTCGATCTGCAATTGTTTTGGAGGCACTCTTCAAAGTTGTTATGCAGATTGAAAGGGCTTCTTGGGCAAGTCCTTCAAACGTAGGTTTCTGAGTAAAAAACAAAATTTGTCACCAAAACAGCTAAAGATTTATAATCATTTTAGCGCTAAAAGATCATTTATCTGTCAATCTTCGGTTACCGCAAATCCATTACTGTCAGTAATTGTCAGCCTACAGGCTACAGCCAAAATGGGATTTCATAAAAAGTAGAATTTACTGACATA